AATATGGCCTAATCCAATTAATGTCTCCCAATAGCTTTTGCATGTCATTTAGGGTCCTAACGCCATCCATCCTAATGGTGACCTTCTGTATAAGTCTGGAGGCGACACTGAGGTCCACACCTGCTGACCCAGGGGTGGCCCTTGTTGAAGGCTGCCATCCTGAGCTGTCCTGTCTCTGGGGCGGGGGCCTGCCTGTGAAGGGGGCCCCCTCTGGCCGTTTTTTGGCTCTCTAGCATCTTGTCCACAAATACGGTTGCCCTGAGCATCAAAGACCGACCTACACTCCTCAGCTTTGTGTGATCCCTTTTTGCATCGCCCACAAACATATGGTTCTTCATTCCTAGGACGAGGCCTAGCATCTGCATTGTTTGGGCAGTGACGTTTAATGTGTCCTGGCTCCCCGCAGGCAAAACACCCTTTAGCCTTACATTCCCCTTCTAACCCGCGAGGTCCCCTCTGCTGTATAGCCGCGGCCAGGAGAGCAGCCACTCCCGAGTTGGAGAGCGGCCCCCCTATCTCTCTGCATATCCTAATCCAGGCATTGAGGTCCTTGTTCTTATGAGGAGCTATCGCCGCCTTGCACTCCTTTGTACACTGTTCGAAAATCAGCTGCCTTACCAGCGGTCGAGCCACTCCCGGATCAGAAAATATCTTATCGGCAGCATCTTGCATTCGGGCCACAAAGTCAACAAATGGCCCTGTGGTACCCTGAATTATTTTTGAAAGACACAAGGAGGCTGTTCCGGCACCACTTACCTGTTTCCAGGCGCGGAGCCCTATGGCATTGATTTGCTCATAGACAGCGCCGGGGAACTGGGTCTGGTCATCAGCGTGCCGACCTTCTCCCATAAGCATTTCCTTGTTCCACCCCCGGTTTCCTCGATTGGCGTTTTTCTCAGCCTGCTCGGCAGAGAACTCTGCATACCAGGCTCGCCAATCCAGGTAACTGCCCGAGGGCAGACAGGCCTTTGCCAGCTGAATCCAGTCCGCGGGGGTGAGGGGCCCAGAAGACAGATTCTCCAGCATGGCAATGGTGTAAGGCGCAGTCGGCCCAAAGGTTGTAACTGCATTTTTAAGTTCTCTAATCTGCTTTATCTCAAAAGGCTCCCATACATTGCGTCCCTGGCCCATAGCTACTTGTACAGGAAATATCTCGTAGGGGCCACTATCTATCCCAGGTGGATGTACCTCATGAGACAAGCGTCCCCCCTGCCAAAGCCGCCTGTAAAAATACCGACCCGCCGGCGGCGGAGCATAAGACGGCGGCCGTGATTGGGCGGAAAATGGGGGCCCGTGCATCACTTCCTGTTCTGGCGAAAGGGGAGGGAGCTCCCAGGTGGCCGCCTCGTGGCGAGGGACCGCCTCCCTCTCGCGCCGGGGCGCACTCAGGAGCTCTCTACTCCTCCGCAGACCAGGTTGAGCAGAGCGCAATTCGCGGGGCAACGCTGGAAAAGAACCCTGCGACTCCTTATTGAGCGACTTAGGCTCCTGACAGCTGGTCTCTTTGGCCTCCCTGCCATTCAACTTTCCCTCGTCCTCGGAGTCAGACGACTCCGAGGCTAGAGCCCCGTCCTCCTCCTTAGCATCCTTGTTCCCCTTGACAGACACCTCTCGGGAGCTCCCTGACTGGGCCTGCTCAAATACCCTGCGTACTTTTGTAAGCTCTTGAGAGCTTTCTCCACAACCACCCTCGCTCTTAGTGCCGCTACCTAGCATGTTTCCCATTTTTTAATATGTTACTCACCGCGTGAGGCCCAAGGAATCCGCCACTTACGCGTGAGCCTGAGGGGAGTCTAAAAGCCCTGTAGGTGCGCGCCACCCAGAGCCCAGGCTTATCCCCAACTCACCTGTCTCGCAGCTCTGTACTGGAGCGTTGTCCACTTCCACGTCTCGGGGGTGATCAGTCCCCGGGCGGGCCTCCAAATGTCGATGTCCGCTCCCGGCCGGCAGGAAGGACACACGACACAGTCTGGTAGTGGACAACCTTTTCTTTTTTATTTTTCTTCTCCGTACAGCCTGCCCTGGGTTCTCCCAGCTGAAGCCTCCTTTGGTCCGCTCCCCGCGGCTCCTTTTGTGCTTCAGTCTGCCCCGAAGCCTCTATCGGTCCGCTCTCTGCGGCTCCTTCTGGGCTTCTACTTCCGGGCTTCTACCTGGCTTCTACTTCCTCCCAGGGGTGGCACCAGTATATATATACGGGTACAGTGTCCAATCATGTTAAAGTAAGCAAGGCAAGCTGATTGGCTAACATCATCAGTTGCCAGGCAGACTATATTGTTGAGCGGGTTGTTTACGCGGTAAGCAGGAAACTAACATATTCGATGGGAGGGGCAATCTACCTCAGGCTTCACTCTTTACTACAGGCCTCACGTCCGCCAAGTGAGGCGACCGGGCTCGGGGCTGCGGCTCCCAACAGGGCAACAAGAGCAAACCCAAGGTCTCAGTCGGCCTCACGATCACAATGGCAAACAAGTGACACTCTACAGCGCCCTGTGTTGCTAAGCAAGGCTGCTCAGTAGGTTGAACATATTAAATGCATTTCTGACTTATGATATTTTCAACTTATAGTGGGTTTTTTGGTTGTATTGTAAGTTGAGGAGTATCTGTACACAATTTGTTTAACTACTTTCCTAGCTGTAGATAATGGAGCTGTCTCCAGGCTTTTTAAAGTAGTGTGACTGAGATCCCTACATGTAGTAAACCACACTTGTATTCACGGTTAGGAGTATGTCTATAGGACCCATTATCATATGTGGAGTTACAGAGTTAAAGAATATGTGCATTTCAAACTTTGAGAGATATTAGTAACTATCCAGTGACAATCTTAGAGTCATAGCTGCCAGGGACTTTATTTTAAAGAGAAAAATAGTGTCAGAACATCATAATTAGGGGGTAACAATGGTATGTATATCACGTGTTGTTATCTTCAAGTCTGTTACTCAGAGTTTGAGACACCTGCATTTAATTGTGGGAGAGACGTTAGAAACTGTCTAGCCCAATCTTTATTTGTTCCCCATTGTCCTTGGAGCCCTAGAAATGGCAGGGGGTGCCTTAACTGGGGGTTAAGGAGGAAAGAGGAAGTTAGAAGTGGGAGGAAACAAAGTGAGCTTCACGGTCTCTGTGTATCTAAGTTGGCTTTCATAGGAGCAGCTTTATATGATTAGCTTTATATGAATGCTTTGTTTGAGGAATGAGATGAGGTCCTGCTGTTTAGCAGCAGCAGCAGTGGGCAAATAAACGCCTGCTGGATCTAAACACAGCTGGGAAACTGTGGCTCAGAGAGCATACCTCGCCAAGCCAAGACTAGACCATGAGTCTTAGCACCACCTTTACTGCAGTAACAGAGCTAAGGTCAAATTCTTCTGGTTGGGTGCCTTCTGTTTTAGGGAGCTCACTAACCCTGGAGCAGCCCACGCCTTTACAGCAGTTCCTAGCTTCTGCCTCTGTTTGGCTAGAGTTTGCCTCCTGGAAGTGTTCAGTCTTGCACTGTCGCCAATGCTGGGCTTTGAGGAGCAATGTCTCTCCCTCAGAAGGCTGATAAGTGTCACAATCACTGATCTTATCTCCACCAAAAGGATTTCAGATGCCCTTGATGATATCAGGAATTCCTCTCTGTGGAGACTGAGTCAGGCAGCTTGGGGTAAGCCCAGGGACTGCGTTTATTTAAGGCAATGCTTCTCAAAATACATGTAGTAAAAGAATGAATGGTTTGTTTGTTTAGATTTCCAATGCATTTTAGACTGACACTTTTCGAAATATGATAAAAACATATTATTGGAAAAAGAAAACTTTATAAACAAATAAAATGTAAGTTCTCTTTCTCTAAATTAGATTCAACAGGCCTAATATTACTCAAAGAGTTACAAAGGTTTCTAAGTCATGATCCTCAGTTTATGTTTTGCCCCATGGAATGACAACAATTTCTAGACTGGCACCAGTGCAGGACTGTGCCAGGTGACAGTGATATAGATAGCGTTATGCTGTGTTCAGCTGATAATCTTATTAAAGGGCTCAGCAGAAAGGGCGCTGAGGTGGGAGTCAAGGACTGAGGCTCTGTCTTGGGTCACTGTCTCGCTCTCAGTGATCTCTCTACATCTCACTTTTCGCATTTATAAAATAGTTGCTAATCTGCCCATTACATCTGGGCTATGGAGGACTGACAAGGTGATGGAATTTTTCCTAGAGAACTAGAGGAACAGAACCACCCACCAATATCCAAGCACATGTCAGGGAGAACTGTAATTAAATAGACCTACTTAAAGAGAATGGGAGTTTAATAGTACTAGGTGGTAGGAGGAGATGGGCGGGATGGGAACATGTAGAAGCAGTGACACCACTCAGAGCAAAGCTGGGCTTGTAAAAAGAGGAGGAAGTGTGCTATGGCAGCGGTCTGGGCTATGATTCTAAATGCATGAGAACCTTTATTCCTTTCCTCCTTTCTGAACTGTTAGCAACAATCTCCCCTCTCCCTCTCCCTGTCCCTCTCCCTCTCCCTCTCCCTCTCCCTCTCTCTCTCCCCCTCCCTCTGTCTCTCTCTCCTCTTCCCTCTGCCTCTCTCTCTCCCATTCTCTTTTCAATGCCCAGCACTAGGGATTGAACCTAGAGCCTTTACACTCAGCCACCTTCCCAGCACTTTTTTAAAATTTTTATTTTATTTTGAGACAAAGTAAAATCACTAAGTTGCCTAGTGTGGACTTCAACTTGTGGTCTTCCTGCCTCAGTCTCCCAGTGCTGGGATTACAGATGTATTCCACTATGTCTAGCTTCTAGTAGTAGAAATCTTTATCTCTTTCTTCTTCACCTGGACTTCCAGATCCCCTTGGGAAACTTTGCATCCCTTTCCTTGGCCCCACATCCCAGCCCCCTGCCTGGCACTGTCAGCTGGTCCCACAGAGGAGTATGCTCTTTCCTGTTTCCTTTTTTTTCTTCTTTTAGAGATCTGTTTTGTGGTCATATTAAAATCTCTTATTCTTAATGTATAATTTTTCTCTCTCTTTTGCCAGGAAATTAACTTTTACAAAGTCATTGACTACATCCTGCATGGCAAAGAAGACATCAAAGTAATCCCGTAAGTGTCAACTCAAAACATGCAGAACCACAGGCACGTTATTGATGGTTTTCCAAGATGAGGGATGACGGAGCCCATCGTGGCCAGGCTCTAGCAGTGAAGAGCGTGGTGAGAGGCAATGTGCAAAGATGGAGAGACTCACAGAGGGCGAGAAATGAGGCCCCAGGAGGGGATGAGACTTGATCCAAGCCCCAGCATGCTGGATTATGAATCAGGTCCTCTGGGTTCCAGCCCCACAGGCAGTTTGTTTGGACCTCAGGTTAGTATTTACAGAATGAGGTAGTGGGATCAAATCCAAGATTTTAAAATTTTTCCATGGTGCTTCTTCTGGGATCCTGGGAAGTGGCAAAGAAAGAAACTCAGCCTCCATGGAAAGCTTATTTTCTCACGTACTCTTCAGATGTAGCCAAGAAGGATGATGAAGAGGGAAAAGATCTTGTTGAACCTATTTACAGGTAGCTGATAAACTAAGACCATTTCAAGGCTTGAATAGTTACAAACATTTTAGTACAGGTTTGAACTCTTCTAAGGCAGAACATTTACAAAATGCTGTGCTGCCTCCTGTGTCTACTTGAGTTGTTTCCTTGTACTAAGAGCCACACCCATATGCAGGCCTTGAGACAGGGCTTCTTTCTCAATTTAATTGCAGGCTCCTAGAGACTGCAATCAGGCTCTGTGGGAATGTCACACCTTTAGTCTCTTTCCCCAGAACTCTTTCACATGGACCGACCTGCAGGGATTTACTGTAAATATGGTGTCCTATCCTCAAACAGTGGGTGTGATAGGAAATGCTGACTCAACTCTGGTCCTTGTACTAGATTCAAACACCCCTGCCACTCAGAGAAACAAGTTCTCAGGTTTATCTTGCTAGTTGAGGTTGAGAGGTTGCATCAAGTTCTTCTGTTACTGGATTTCTCTCTTCTATTCCATTCTTGCTTGCACAAGGACTGATTCTTATCTAACATCATCTCTTTTCTTTTTCACCTTGTCAAATGCATACTCTTCATTCACTTTTCCAATGCCTGTTCTAAAGCTGCAAAGTATTAAGTTCATTATGTCTTTCAAATGATCATAGGTTTTCCCCAACGATTCATTACTGCCTGTCAAGCATCACATCCTGTTAGCTTCCGTTCACCCCCACCTTGCTGCCCTTCACCCACCCTTATCCTACATCACCTGTTTTAAGGGTTTCTTTTTTTTAGATGGTAGTACTGCATTTCTAATCCAAATTTTGATTCAGGCAAGATAGGTTGATCGTGGTGAGACTATGGCATGCCGCAGGGGGCTGTTTGTTATCAATGAAAACTCTAAAAGGTTCACTATCACTGAGCTGGGCTACGTTGTGTAACAAAACCTTTAGACCTTAGTGGCATAAACAGCAAAGTTTTATTGTATCATCCCATCGTGTGGTCATTTCCAGTTGTTGGGTGTAGCTGAGCTATCGTGTGTGGATTGTGGTCAGGCCAGAACCAAGACTGATAAAACAGCCACCATTTGAACATTAGAGGGTTGACTATCATGACCAGAAGGAAAAGAGAACATGGAAAAACACAGTGGCTCATAAATGTCCATCTGAAGAGGCTCACATCACTTTCACTGACATTTCAATGGCCAAATCTAGTCACATGGCCTTGTGCTTTGCTTTGAGTGTATAATGTGCACCCCAGCTGTGTGCCCACAGGGAGGACAGCCATCTGTAGGTATCCCTGACAGCTGCCAAGTATACGCCATTCAAATTCCCGAGTGCTGGGATAACAGGCATGTACTACCATGCCCAGCTAGTAAATAAATTAGTAATCCCCAAAGGAAGGCCAAGAAAAATTTAGAAAGAACATAGAGCAAGCAGGAAAAACAGAAAACACATGTTAAGATGATAAATCCAAAGATGTGAAATCCAAATATATCAACAATTTCTTTAAATATAAATCAACTTCCAGGTAGATGAAAAAGATTGACAGACTAGATAAGAAAAAAAACCTATCACATAGCATATGATTTTAAGACACACAGTTTTCTGCTTTTTGACATTTGGTATTATACAATTGCTATCAGCCACATGGCAGTCATGATATCCTTGTGACTGGCTACCTGAGTGTGAATTGGTCAAACTATGCATAGTGTTGAGCAACCATTTCCGGCTGCTATCCATCTTGAATTAAATTGTCATATATAGTAACATAAAGAGATTATGCTATGACATGGCATTGAAATAAAAAAAATTGTTTTAAATGGCACAGAGACAGGAAAAATCTTGATATATGATCAAAATCTACATTGAGATGCTGAAGAATGTTTTAAAATGAATAAAGCAAGTAATAATCAGGTGTGGTGGTGCACATCTGTAATTCCCACACTCATGAGGCTGGGCAGGAGGATCACTGTGAGTTCAAGGTCAGCCTGTGCTATATACATAGTGAGCTCAAGAGAGAGGCCCTGTCTAAAAAAGTAATCAAACAAAAATTGCATTACAGATTAATTGACAGCATTTTATCTTTGTCAGTCATATAAATGGTTCATAAAGATGATTACTTCCTACATATGATGAAAAATCATATATCTTGTTTATAGAAAATTTATCTGAAAGATAAGTATTCAGAGAAGGTATACCATACGAATGACAATTAAATAGTTACATTATGCTTTTTTGTTTTTCATGTTGGAGATTAAACCCAGAGCTTCATGTGTGCTAAGCTTATCCTCTGTCACTGAGCTACATCTGGTGTAACTATATTAATATCAGATTAAATAGGTATTACACTAAAGAACATTAGTAGACCTAAAGATAGTCACTTCCTAGCAATAAAGGGTCAATCTGTCTTGATGTTACAGGATATTACGATTCTAAATTTGCAGATACTTTAAAACATAAGGTAAAAAAAAAAAACCCTAGTCACAATATAAGGAGATACTCTATAGACAAATCCATGTTCCTTAATTGACAGAATGAGAAGAATAAAACAAATACTGTGTAGATTACATCAACCACACAGTTTAAAAACACAACCTGATAGGTATACACCAAAGACTGTTCACTGGGAATATCTAGTAAAGTAGAATAAGCACCTTCCTTGTAACTAGCAAGTTTGCTTCTGGGCACCCACACCAGGGAAGCCGGCCCATTTGTGAAACGTGTGCATAGATACCCATTGCAACAGTGCTAAATGCCCATCAACAGGGAAGCATAGACAGTTTAGACAAAGTTATACAATAAATACTACAAAAGCAATTAAAGTCACAGACAAACTTCAAAATGCTGGCCAAAAGGAAAAAAAAGCTATTTAAAGAATGATGCCATTTTACATAAAATTTATAAACCTGCGAAACAAGATTATATCATTTCAATAGCTACATACACATGTGCTAAGAGCTGAAAAGCATGTAGACGTGATAAGAGTTTAATTTATGAAACTGGCCCTTTGGTTTGACAGAATATGGTCAGAGATGATTATGTAGTGTTTCTCCTGTCTCTAGTTGTTCATTTTAAAAAAAGTAAGTAGAAATTACTGTTAATATTTGAAAAACAAAACAAGCAAATTATCCCTTGTACACTAAAAAAACAAAAAACAAAAACAAACTAATAAGTATAATTGTTCCTCATCTCCCAAAACAGGAAACACTGAATTTTTTTCAAGCATACATGAAATCTTTTCAATCATTGGACACATACTAGGCCATAAAGCAAACCTTAACAAATTTCACAAGACTGAACTCATACATAGAATTTTCTTGCTCACAACAAAAATACGTAAGGTACCAATTACAAAAACTATTCAGAAAATTCTGATATACTTGGAAACTAAGAAATATTCTTCTGGGGAAAATATACCTCCAAACAACTAATGAATCAAAAATTAATTAATAGAAATTAGAAAATATTCTGAGCTGAAAAAATACTACATATTAAAACCTAGATGATGTGGTGAAATTATGTTCAGGTGAAATTTACTGCCTTAAATACATTTATTTACAAGAAAGGATAAAGGCTGGAAGAGTAATGAGCCAGGTGCCCATCTGTATTAAACAGGATTCCAACAGAAAACAGGTGTCACATTCAAATTATAGTAACTCAAAGAGGATCTATTAACAAAGGGACAGATCACAAAGACGTGGGTGGAGAATGGGCCATAAATCAGTGTGTGGGTGATGGTCAGGCTATTGCAACTTCTGGCTCCAGAACTTGGAAGGAGAGTCCTGCAGGACAGATCGCTTGGAAAGAAGCACTGTCCCTTTAGAAAAGGACTGTAGCCAAAAGTTTTTTCTTTGAATAGACCAATAAGACCAATAAATTTCGGGCAAGATTGAGCAAGCAAAACAGAGAGAAAAATCAGATAATTAGGAACAAAAGGGGGCTGCATAACTATAATAATATAGGCTTTATAGAGTTAATAAGGATGAGGCACACACGGCAGAGCAGAGCACATGTCAGCATCCACAAAGCCCTGGGTTTGGATCCCAGCACAGAAAGCTACAGGAGGCCTCAGTCCTTCACGTGGGCTTCTACAACGAGCTATTTGAGTTATCCAGTGGCATGGTAACTGGGTTCTGCAGAGCAAGCAGATGAAGGCTGAAAAGACTCGAATCAAGAATCTGTAAAGAACTCTAACAAATGTTATTGAAAAACAAGTAAAAGACATAAATAAAAAGTGCATGAAATAGCAATCTAAATGACAAATATATTTCTAGAAGGTACTCCGTTTCATTAAATTTGTAGAAAAATGCAAAAGAAAACCACAGTCAGGCACCATTAGACCTTACCAGAAGGGCTGTAATTTAAGTTCCGAAGTACTAAATATTGACGGATATAGAGCAAAGGAAACTAACATATCACCGATGGGAGTGTAAATTGGTATCATCACTTTAGAAAGCCATTTGGCCTTATCTAGTAAAGTCTAATATATTATGATTTATTATTTCTACTCCTAGGATATACTTCAGAGAATTGAGAGCACATCAGTATGAAAGTGTTCATAGCAGAACCATTACATTAGCCCCAAATCGATGAGGGAAGAGGGGGGGTGGAGTGAAGGGGAGGGGAGATGCCGACCGACATTGAATGGATAAATTGTGTTGCTGAAATAGAGGGGAACTATAAGTCAGTAAAATGAATAAATTTCAGCAACATGAAAAATACGTCAAAGTAATAAACATTCTAAGATTCCATCTAAATGAAGTTGGAAAACAAGCAAAATCAAATTAAAAGGTACAGAAAAACATACTTGGGTGGTAAAACTCTACAGAGAAACAGGAATGTAATTATCGTGGTAGAATAACAGTTACTTTGGGGGTTAGGACGAAGGCTGTGATTGGGAGGACCAGGGCAGGGGCTCCTAAGCTGCTGACGGTGCTCTTCTTGGCCTGCGTGTGGTTTCAGAGTTGGTCATTTCTAGCGACTGATGAAGTTTCTAAAGTATTTCGGTGTACCTTTTCTCTCACAATAAATAATAAAAGTAATAAAATCATATGTCACTTAAGGAAGGGGACACATTCTGAAAAATCCACTGTTAGCTGCTCTTGTCAGTACACAAGCATCACAAAGTGAGAAAGGCCGTGACATCACTAAGTGACATAATCTAATGGGGCCATTAGCACATATGCGGTCTGCTGTTGACCAAAAGATCATTATCCAGCACATGACTATAATCCCCAAAAGTGTAATATTATCTCTGGAAATCAATATTTAAGACATTTAGTTTAGTGCTTAGACACGTAGGAGCTCACAACAGAAGGGTTTTCCACTCTATAATCTAAAGCTACTGACTTTTTGAGGGAAGTGTGGGTATCAACTTCTGCTCAGCAGCTAGCAATCTGTGAAATGTATATTGTCTCTCTTTTTTGGAAAGAACTTCATGGACAAACAGCGCACTGTTAGGTTCATCACTCTTTCCTTCATCTCAAAATGACCATGAAGGTGGCTGGCCAGTCTTTGTTGACAGGTGTAGGGAGTGTAAGCTGGTTCTGGGGACAGCAGAAAGCTGGGAAGGGGCAAAGACCCACGACCAGTTTGAGTCTAACAGTTGCTGCGCTGAAGGTCACCACTTGTTTTTGGCCTTTGCAGGAATCCACCTCCTGACCACTGGGCTTTAGTAAGCGGTCTCCCTACATATGTTGCTCAAAATGGCCTGGTAAGTAACAACTTGGAAGAGAGAAAGTTTGAATCAGATAGCATAATGAGAGGATTTCAGATCAAGAGGGTAGAAAAAATGAGGGTAAAAGTGAATATCTAAAGACTATTTCTCTTGTTTTTCAATCACTTGACAAATGATCCAAAAAAAAAAAAAAAATGAACAGAGAATTGGCATTTGGGTGCAGTTAAAATACAAAGAAATAATCCATCAATTGAAAGGTACACAGTCCCACTGACACCTAGAGATACTTACTCACATGTCAAGGACAAAATAATTACCTGGATGGTTCACCCAATTCCCAGAGGCTAAGTCCCAGTCTCTCATACCAGATGTAATTGCCATTCTCCTCATCCTGCATTTCCAAGCATGCTGCATACTGAGAGCTCCAGTACTTTATTTCCCACCATGCCCTGCCCACCCAGAGTCAAGGATGGAAAGTGTCTCCTGTGCCTGAGAGGAGGGCCATATCTATTGGCTGTCCATAACCCCCATATTTAGGCCTGATTACTCCTCTATTCCTCTCCAGGGACACATCACACAATGCTGTCCATGTAACAGGGTGTTTATTTATTGAGCATTTTCTGTGTGTCAGGCACTATGATAGGCTCTGGGGATACACAGGTAGATCAATCATATATATATATATATATATATATATATATATATATATATATATTTTCATATTCCCTGGTAGCAATAACAACATGGGTGTTAGTCACCTTCCCAGCACTATAATCAGCATATAATGAGAAGAGATTTATTTTGGCTCACAGCTTTGGAGGTTTCAGTCCAAGGTCAGTCAGTCTCATTGCTTTGGGGCCTGTGGCAAGTCAGCATATCACAGGAGGAGCACATGGCAGAACAGAGCTGCTCACATCATGGGAAGTGAAAAGGAAGGAGGAAAAGAAGGGTAGATTCCAATATTCCCTTCAACATCACGTCCTCAGCACCCAGCATACTTCCCTCTAAGCCCTACCTCCTATACCTCCAGTTTTCACCACCTTCCTATAATGCCAAACTAGGGGCAGCCCCCAGGCTTTTGGGAAAGTTCCATATCCAAACTATAACAATGGGCAGACGATATGGATGGACGTTTGGGCAGCACAGTCTGTGCAGTGCAGTCATATTGAAGTGGTGGGCTGGAGATAGGGAGGCAACAAAAGAGACAAGGAATATCACATCACAATAGGGTTTGGATGCCACAGCAAGGTGGTGAGACTTTAATTTATAGATGATGGGCTTTTAAGCAGGAGGTTGGCACAGCTGATTTTCATTTTAACAAGATACCTGTTGGCAGCACTATGGAAAATGGACTTAAAAAACAAGGACCAGAGGAAGGGTGGCAAGGGCACAGTTCAAACAAGAAATGATGGAAATCTCAACAAAGGTGGGTGTGGTAGAGAATACTGTCATGACTGCCAGCAGCCACTGAGCGCTCCCGACAAACCACTGAATAAAAGTATTTCATATAACAACTCCAACAGAGACAAGATGGAAAAACACTAAGGAGTCAAATCTAATATTCAGAGGGTAAAACTGGCAGGACTTTGTGATTGATCACAAGTAGATGGGGGTAATAAAATTAATTTAAATAGTAGGTAGACAAGGAGAAGGCAGAAGAGTCAAAGTTAATTTCAAGCTTTTAGACTGGCTGAATCGTGCTGCCCTCAGTTTGTGATGGAAGAACATGAGGTCAGTTTCAGACAAGGTGAGACAGAGACATTTTTCAGAAGCAAATATCCAGCAGGTAGATGAAGAAACAACTCTCATGCCATGGGGAAGGAGGAAGGCTAGAGATAAGATTAAGGAGCTATGAAGACCACATAGATGGTCCTTGAAACCATGAGGGCTGATGAAGTCTCCCAGGAACAATGTGAGGGGCAGAAGGCCAAGGGAGAAATGTTGGAAAATGTCACTATTTCCAGAGCAGCTAGATAGAAAGCAGCGTGTGAAGGAAACACAGGAGGGTTCAGATATGTTTGGAGACCCAGGAGAGGGCGGTGTCCGGGAAACCAAGGACGTTTCAACCAAGAGACAGACCAAGGGCAGCACAGTGAAGTGGCACAATAAATGAAAAATTTTTGGGGTTTGACAATTTTTTTAATTTTAATTTTAATTTTAAAAGGGGATAAAATTAGACAGCGAAGATCTCCCGTGGACTTGCTTTGAAATCTATGTTTCTTTAAATTATTTCCTTATAAACTGTTTTGTTCTGTTTAATCTTAATCTCTTGAAGATAAAAAACAAGTGTGTAGGACTGATAACCATATTACTAAGTTCTTGTTGGATCGTCGAGCAGAACTGTTTGCAGTGTCATTGTTTAAATATCACTTTGTATGCTTTAATTTTGTAACTCGAACAACTATTTCTAAGATGGCGATTTCTTACTGTTTATTTTTCTGAAATTCTGTATTGTTTCTACCCTTTTTATGTTTTTTTCTTTAAATAAAACACAGCGAAAGAGAGCAAAATAGGACATAAGAAAGCAATGTAAGAGATAAAAATTTCAAAGCTAGATGACCTGAGATCTTCACTATCTATCATATTGTCTCGTTTTCTTCCAAATAGTTGTCCATGTCTTCGCATACAGAGAATTCATACAAAACAACATAGTATAAAACTGATCCAAACTGAATGAGGAAAGCGTTTTAGGTCTTCAAAACCAGACAGTAGGGAAGTCACTAATGGCTGTCATACAGTCTCTCATTCTCTTCAAAACAGCTGTCCACACTTTCATGTATATTGAAGTTCAACAAAACAAAACAGGCAGGGGGAGGGGTTGCTTGGTTTTCCAGTGCTCTAGGGCCCAGCATGGTGTGGGTGCCAGTAAATGCCAGTGGCTCACATCCTGGGCTGCCACGGGCTGCCACAGCCTGCCACATTTAGGGCCGCTCATGGGGAGGGGAGTGTTGTTTGGGGGATTTGACAATTAAGAGGTCATTGGTGGCTCCAATGAAAGTGGATTTGGTGGCAATGTGGGGGTCATTGAGGAATGGATAGGTGATGACGAGGAAAAGAATATAGAAAGAGAATGCCTGCATGGAAGATTGCTATGGAAACCATGACAGGTGAAGGAAGGATTTTATTTTCAAGGATGGGAGAAACTCAAGCATGCTTAAAGCTGAGACCTGTGGGAGAGATTAGCAATCAACAGGAAACAATAACAACTGATGGACTTGGCCCTTACAGAGGCTGAAAGTGTAAGTGCACAATTATAGAATAACAAACTTCCACATATTTTATGGCAAGTTAAAAAATCAGTTAGTGGCCTTTGACGATGATCCTGCAGCTTGTCATGTAGTTAGTCTGTTAAATTCAGTAAGCCTCGACTGTCTGAATGCAGCTGCTTCTCTTTGATCCTGTGCTGTGTCAACTTGGCTGTATCCAGTTTGTGTTCTTCCTTAATTAGAATAATATATATTGTTTCCAACTTGCTTGAAGCCTGTCATGTTCAGGACAGACTGACCCAGTCAAGGATACTTTTAACTTTACTTACTCTGCTCAAGCCTCTGCCTGCCCCCCAAGGTGTTCCTATATTATGATTCCTGTTAAGTAAATCTATTTATAATTAGCGTGCCTGACAATATGTGATTTAGTTCATGTAACCAATCATATTATAACCTGCCACCAGCCTTTTACTTACTGTTTGCAAATTGTATTTAAACTGCACTCTAAGCTAACTGGTGGTTGGTGATTTTGAACTGATTCACACCAGCCCACTGGAATTAGATCAATAAACATTGCCTTCTCAGTGCCGAGAGTCTTCCATGTGGTTTGATATTAGTTTTTATGCAACAAAAGGATGTGCCATCTGTGGGTCATCCCCAGGCAGGAGCAGGGACAGTTCCCCTTCTGAGAGCTGATGGTTCATTCTTGCATTGAAAACCAGGGTTGCTGCGAGTGCATGTGGTGGCTTTTCAAGAATTAAATAAAAGCCTCCTTCTCAGCAGATAACTAGAGTAAAGCCAGAGGTGTGGCTCAGTGAACAGCGTGGAGGCTGGACTTAGTTCCCAGGTCCCTCTTAAACAGACACCTACTTGCAGTACACGCAACACTGGACATGCTGTCTCCATCTGCAAGGTTTTGCAGGGATTCAACAGTGTCACCTGGTCCCCTACACAGAAGAGTAAACTAATCCAATTTTCAGAGGAGAAATCTGGCACTGTAGAACCAGAGTTACGTATCTTTCACTTCTTGTTTCCTGGGGTTTATGCCCCCAGGGAAAAAACTTTCCTGCACAAACAAACAAATGTAACAGAGTCAAAGATGTTTAGAGTAGTATTATTTGTAGCAATTTAAAAAAATAATTCTGGGGTGTAGCTCAGTAGTAGAGTAGTAATAGAGTACTAGTGTAGCATCCTTGGGCTCCATCCCCAGCACCAAAACAAACAGCAAAACAAAAACAAAAAAACCTGGATACAAACCAGGTGTGGTGGGGAACTCCTGTAATCCCAGCATTCAGGAGGCTGAAGCAGGAGGATTGCTATGAGTTGAGATCAACCTGGGCTACAAAGTGAGCCCCAGGGTAGCCTGAACTGCATAGAGAGACCCTGTCTCAAAAAGACAAAACAAACAAAAACCCTGGACACAGCACATGACTCAACAAAAGGGAAACACAAAATGGGATACTATGCAGCTATCGATAATGACAACCTGCACTTAAATTTTCCAAGGCTTGTAAATGAGAGTGAAGCAAATAATCAGAAGTAATATTTGTAGGGTGATTTTTCTATCCAGTAACCTCAGTAAAAAACCTCGAACCTGATGAAAAGAATATGAGTGCCTTGGGCAAGGACATTGTGTATCTGAAAACGGTATGAATTGTTTCCTGGGGACGCTCGCGAGTCTAATCACAACTCCTTGTTCCCCTTCATGGCTTCCAGATTTGCAATATCATGAACGCACCTGCGGAGGACTTTTTTGCGTTTCAGGTTAGTCATTATTTTTTTGTTCTCTTAATAATGAGATTTTTTTTTTCCTCTAGAAAGAGCATTAGAAACCACTCACTTTCTTGGGAAGCAATCTGAGGGAAGTGAAAACAGGAGTGGGAAGAGCCGTGTGGCCCTGGAGGTGGGACGGAGTTAACCGGGCAGTTTCCAAGGTCCCGCTCAGTCCTAACACTCGGACCTTTCGCTTTCTGGTGTCAAGGCATTTGCTTATGTTCTTCCCTCCAGAACCACCATCTCCTGTCCAAATCCCCCTGCCTTTCATCCACAGCCTCAACTGCTATCACTCCACAAGTCACATTATGATTTTCCTGATGTTTACGGAATATAGTTTAGTATTTCATTTGATTTTATCTCTTCTGTTTTTTGAATAGCGAATGTTTATGGAGGATGGGTCACAAAGTGGCAGTCCGAGAATGGCAGGGAACAAGAGGCGAGGGAATCGCTCAGAGCTAGCTACTCTGGTTTGGGGGAGCCAAGAACGTGTCCCGGAGGGAATTATGTCGGGTGGTGAGGGGAGGGGAGTGGAGATGGCTAACTGGAAGGTACTGGTGTAGGCTGAGAAACCCTGAGGCTGAAGTGACAGAGATTCTGAAGAGGTGGACGAGGGGACAGATGACACAGGGCCCGAAGGCACATGGCAAACTACCTTGTTTCATCTTTGTTACCCTTACTTCTGTTTTAGACTGATTTTTCCCAGTAAAATATTGGCTTTCTTTGATGAAAGGTTGAGTTTTTAACCTTTTTTTAGCTCTGGATACCCTATCAATATTTATTGAATTTAGCATGCAATGCTTAACAAATCATTAGCAATCAGGAGACTCACTGAACTACCTTTCTACACTTAAAAAACATTATCAAAGGGTTTAGAAAGATACACTTCCAAAATTAAGATTGCACTACCTGTGTTATGATTTTTGATCAATCCATGTGACAAGCTTAAACAGCTGCTTACCTGATTATAACCACCGTAGAACTCAGTCTTTACCCAATTCATCTGACTGTAGTTTAACTGTTAATAAAGCAAATATAATCCTTAGATTCTAATCCTCTCCAAGTCTTCCTCCACAAAGGATCCAGAGTGATTTTGTTTTTCAAAGATAGGCTGGATCAATGAATTTCCTTCCTTAGAAATCTTGGGTGCTACCTGGTTTCACTTTCTCTCCATTCTGACCTTCTTAAGGAAAGGACACCCTGACGGTTCTGTGGAGCACTTGGGGGTGATTGGCCTTAAGTTCCTCATCCTGTACTCAGGCTGTACAGTATTTTTCATCCTTCCAGACCCTCCCACCAGAGGCTATGACAGAATATTAAAATGCTAGCAGTAATTACCATCTTACCACCCTGGGAATGTCAGACCCGAAAGATATTTACTTCAGCAAGCCTTCCTCCTCCCTTCCAGCTCCATGAGTAACAAAAAGAGAAGCCAGGCATCTTTCCGCACTGTGGTGTAATTGTTAGTTTATTTTATAGATTACAAATACTCTGAGGACAATCTGTGCCTTGTCTGTCTTGGTTTTCCCGGATGGTAGCTTGGTTTCTTATACATTACATGTTGATGATCAGTGAAAGAAAGAGTTGTTACGTCAGTTTTATGATAAAAGTGAGTCTCAGACAGACAGTAAATGACTCACCAAAGTGTCTTATAATTGACCAAGAGCCTCATTTTTTCTTTTATTGAGGCACACATTTTCTCCTATCTATAGATGGGAAATTGAATCAATTTCCTTCTTTAAAAATCATAGGTAGTATCCTACTTCACTTTCTCTTTATCATGACCTTCAGAAGAAAAAGACTTCTGCAGAGAGCTTGGAGGGTGATAGGTCAAGAAGATAAATAGCAAGCCAAAAGTAACGCAAAAGGCCAGGCTAGAGGCAAAAATGCGGGATGTTTCTAAGTGATTAATTCAAAGTTATGAGAACCACTGGCACTGCCTTTTGAAGCAGCAATTCAGCTATGGTTATCTCCCATATGTGAAAGGGGACTGCTGCCTTCCTAGGGTATTTCGATTTATCATTACAGCCCCAGGATGTGACATACTGCCTGGTACACATTAGCCCTGACATTTTAGGGGTGGAAACAGTGTGGTTACCTGGCTTAAGGGACTCAAACAGGTGGGCGGTTTGCATGATCTTTATACATGATTAAACCATGCAAAATGCAACAAGCTCCATCCTCTTCTTGCTCCCTCTCAGCCAAGGAATAAAGCTCTCCTCCCAGCAGCGGGTCCATCACAGCTGTCTGTGTACCCTGGCTCCAGAGAAAACCAAGGGTCTGCTGCTTCTCTTGTAGAAAGAGCCGCTGGACGAGTCTGGATGGATGATTAAGAACGTCCTTTCAATGCCAATTGTGAACAAGAAGGAAGAAATTGTTGGGGTGGCCACGTTTTACAATCGCAAAGATGGGAAGCCCTTTGACGAAATGGATGAGACCCTCATGGAGGTTTGATGTGGTGGGAGGTCCCTGGCCATTGTGGTTCAGAGTCACTTGCTGCCACATTTGGCTCCCCTGCTGGGCAGCGGGACCCTGGTGTATAGCAGCCGAGCCACGTGGAGGGACAGGGAAGCCACCTTGTGGATACTGCTCTCATTTCTTTACTGCCACACGTTGTCAAAGAAATTCACACACCCCTTTTTAAAAAAATGTAATAAACTTCATTTTTAAATAGAACTTTTAGAATTCCAGCAAAACTGAACAGAAATTACAGAGTTCCTATGGACTGCCTGCCCTACAGGCAAAGAGTGTCTTTTTAAAGTTGGCCAGGTGTGGTGGCGTATGACTTTACTCCTAGTGGGGGAGGCTGAGGCAGGAGAATCATTGTGAGTTCAAAGTCAGCCTGAAGTACATAGCTAGACCCCGTCTCAAAAAAAAAAAAAAAAAAAAAAAATTAAAGTTAGTATGTATGAGAATAAGGCGCATTGTGTGTTAGTTTTTAACTTAAACGATGTTCACGCCTCCATTATTTTGTCTTGTCCCCACAACATCTCTGAGTGTGGACAGCACACAGCTTAGAAAACCTTGTTAGTATCAAACCTGCGTGTTGTGTCTGATTCTTCCTTTCCTTTCAGTCTCTGACTCAATTTCTGGGATGGTCTGTCTTAAATCCTGACACCTACGAATCCATGAACAAACTTGAAAACAGGAAAGATATTTTCCAGGACATTGTGAAATACCACGTGAAGTGTGATAATGAGGAAATTCAGAAAATCCTGGTGCGTAGCATTCTTGTTCCATTCTAGCAGAGATTGTGCCTGGAGATAAGGCAAGACCTGAAGTCCAAGAAGGCACAGCTCGATGTGGGTTTGCTCAGTCATATCCTCCTACCTAGCACAGAACTCTAGTGGCCTTCAGAGATGGAGGCATGAGCAAATGCTAGAGGGTGGTACATAGAAATGGCTTGATTTGCACTCAGGACAGGTATCTCAGTTCTAGAAACTCCAGTTTCCTCTGTGACCAGGACTAACTTGGTAGAGGCAACAAAGTCAACTAACTGTAGCCCCTACTCTGAGATGAAGCTTTATCAGACGAATCAGTGGCCTTAGTCTGTGTCTCAAAGCCTCTCTCCCAGCTCATTTTGAAAACTCAAACAAGTCACAGAAAAGTTTGGTGAGCAAAGAAGTAGTTCAGAAGGTGTAAGGAACCCTTGCATGGTTTTGTCATCTTAGAGTTTATAAGACAAATTCACATGCATGATCTTGTCTGGTGCCTATTGAGCATTAACCCAGTAAGTGGACAGAATGAAGATCTCTGTCCTCGATGAAGAGATAAAGGACAAAGGAGAAAGAACTGATTCCCAAATCACCTAGCTTGGGGATAGATCTTGATTAACCTTATTATGGACAAATTCGCTACCTTGCCGTCAAAAGATGTACTCATCATCACGAATTATCCACATGGAAACAGGATGTCCAGGGATGCTAGAAGGAACATCCTTACTGGGGTGGAAATTGGCTTTGATTCTTTGAAGAATACGTGAGACTCGGTGATTAAATTTTCCCAGGATTTTGGTTTTAAGGAGATCAAGCTCTCAGAAGTAAATCAAGTTGGCTACATGGCATTGGATGTGATGCTAGCTGATATCCTGACATGTTGGCTTATAGGCCTCACAAGTGGAACCATAGAAGCCATTATATCTCAGGGGCCATTCTTGTTGTTTTCCAGTACTGGGAATTGAACCCAGGGCCTTCACACTGTGTTACATCTCAGTCCCTTTTTAAAGTTTTTTTTGTTTGTTTGTTTGGAGACAGAGTCTTGCTAAGTCATTAAGTTGCCTAGGTTGGACTTGAACCTGAGAGCTTCCTGCCACAGCCTCCCAGAGTGCTGAGATCACCATATCAGGCTTTGGAAAGTATCTCTACTATGGAAAGAAAGTACAATAAATTTGAACACTTCATCCCAATAACTTGGAAATTCAGAGGTGAAAACATCTGGTTTAGATGAACTACTTCAATTTGCTTGACTCAGCCAATAATTTCAGCCAAGTCATGGATATGCAGACCCTGTGGAGGTGTACGCATAGTAAACCACTGTAATCCAAATTTCCCCAACCTCCTCACAGTCCAGAAAGTTTATGTTTCTAATCCCATTGAAACATCATCGGAATCCCGTTAAGTTACCTCTGATCTAACCTACGGTGAGAATAAAGGCATAAGACATCTTCATAGTTATGGGCAGCCAAGGGGACCTGAGTCCAATTCAGGGGAGGATTCACAGGTCAAAAAGCCATGACTCAGGGTCTTATCCAGAATTTGTTAACTCGTGAAGAAGGGAGTGGCTCAAGGGTCAGTGATGGTGAGAATGGTAGGAATTACGTGAGTCTGTGAGCCAGGCTTAGCTAGAAAGCACCTCTGCAATATGCAGAGAGAAGGGTATGCAGAAGGACCAATTTGCATGATTCAACTGGGACAGTGTTTAAATGTTTAGGAAGCTGTTGCTTCAGTTCCTAATATGTAAACTTTTGTGCCCTGAGAAATCCTGACCTTTTATCTTGAGGCCCGAACCCAGTCCATGCCTGGAGCTATGTGGCTCTGCCATTCCGCTGTGTGCAACCATTTACAGGGAGACAGGAGCCAAGGAAACAGGACACTGCTGATTGGCTTCAAAGATAGCACATCAGCACCTCAGCTAACCCTATTTACATTGCTTAGAGCCAATTAAAGAGAGAAGGAAATAGCTTAGCCAGCTCTGTACTTATCAGTACGTAGAAATAGGGCCCCTTTTCTGTGATAATCTATTTTTTTTCTCATTATTTTGGGCTGTGGCAGAAAACCAGAGAGGTATATGGGAAAGAAGTAATTGTTCTGCATTCAAGGAGAACTGTCCAAATGGCCTTTTACAGTAAACCAGCTGAAAGAAACAGGTTTTTGCTTTAGGTCATGAATTTGGAAACAAAGTAACTGGATCTGTGTTTTCTCTCTCTGGTATATAAGAAAATGGGTCCAGAAAGAGAGGGAACTTGACTCTAGTAACACAGTAAATGAGAAGAACTAGACCATGGCCAAATGGTCTTTACTCCCAGTCATCAGCAACAATAAAAATATCACCATTATTTTCGTGCTTACTCTATACCAAATAATGTGCCAAGTGCCTGCATTATTTAATTTAGCTATACATACTTTGCTCAAAAACGATTATACAATCAGTTGTGGACTTCTGTTAGTCCCATTTTCCAGATGAGGATATTGAAATTCAGAGGCACTCAGTGATACTGCTGGGAAGCGGCAGAGCTTTCATCTAGAAGCCGATCTCCGTGGCTCCAAAGTGCACAACTTTGAACTTGCTGATCAATGAACGCGGCATGTTCACCTCTCTCAGTGGGTGGTTCTATTCTAAGGACTTTGGAGGAAGGAGAAAACTGGAAATGGCAATGGAATGTGCAGGCATCTTTGGGCTGACACTGTGATAACCTGTTTCTTTTTGTCACTATTTTGGGCTGTGGCAGAAAACCAGAGAGGTGTACGGCAAGGAGCCATGGGAATGTGAGGAAGAGGAGCTGGCGGAGATCCTGGTGAGCAGCTCCAGCTCTGCTGAGTCAGCTGCGTGGGTGCTCGTGATGCGCCCACCACTGCTCGGCTCCACCTGGCAGACCCGGCATGGGGGCAGAACTGGTGGTAATAGAGGGGACCCAGGAACACTTTATGTCCCCTAATCACTTGATTCAATTCCCTATACAGCAAGGTGAGCTGCCAGATACAGAGAAATATGAAATTAATAAATTCCACTTCAGCGATTTGCCCCTCACAGAACTGGAGCTGGTGAAATGTGGGATACAGATGTATTATGAACTCAAGGTGGTGGATAAATTTCACATTCCACAAGAGGTGAGGTCAAACAAATATGTTTAATTTCCTTCCTTCCTTCCTTCCTTCCTTCCTTCCTTCCTTCCTACCTTCCTTCCTTCATTCCATTGCCTGGTATACTTCTATAAAAAGAGTGACCCTCAGCCTTTGGATGTAAAGCACTGCTCATGCTCCACACTCGGTCCTCAGTCAGATAAGAGGTGCACTGTCTCACAGCTGCACAGTTGCAGGTGCTTTTGCTTCTTGCAGCGGGTTCTGAGGCACAGATGCTGAAGTCTGAATAAATAGATGGTGAACTCAGGTAGGAAATGTGTTCCACTCAAATAGGGCTCTTTTCCTGCAGGATTCCTGTTGAATCTCTGTCTTCTGCCTATGTTAGCTTCACCCAGGACAGTTGCTCTCTGGGGCACAATTTGGGAATCACTGATGAAGCGCAACCAATTTGCATAAGCACAGTGCCTCGGGTTCATCTTGTTCTCTAACAACGTCATCTTTGTAGTACTGAGCAGTTTGCGAAATGCCTTTGTAACGTTTCTGCATCCATTGCCAGTTCCCAGCTCATGGTCCAGGTATAGGATTGCAGATCCTGGGCACCTGGCCGGGTGTGCACTGTCTCCCCGGCATGCATGTGTTTGCAGGCCCTGGTGCGGTTCATGTACTCGCTGAGCAAAGGCTACCGCAGGATCACCTATCACAACTGGCGGCATGGCTTCAACGTGGGCCAGACCATGTTCTCCTTGCTGGTGGTACGTGAGGGCAGACCTGGCTGGCGGGGTTGGGGAGCGCAGACAACCCGGGACAGACTCAGGTAGACTCCACATGGCAGCGGTGGGCTGCTGTTCTTTATTGTCTTCTAAGAACTGTGAAAATAATACCTGCATGAAAGAATTCTAACACAAGAGAAGCATCACATAAAAAGCAAAAGGAAGCTGTCGGTTAACCCAACTCCAATCTGGTTTTGGTTACTCAACATAGCCATGGCACAAGTCCTTCCATATTTTCTTTTTGTACACACACAGAGAAACATACCATTTATTCTGTCTATAACCAATGGAATAATATTATTCTGTAATATATTTTCACTTGAAAATGTTATCACTTTCTTCTGTTTACATATGCATAAAGATATCAATCATTATTTCATTATGTAAGCACACATAAAATACTTTTATGTCTATATTATATACAGCATGATATATATTTATATGTTACATATAAAGCATAAAACATCATTTTAATCATTTTTATATGTACAATTCGGTGGCTTTAAGTAATTTATAATATTTGAAAATTTCACCACTGTCTCTAGAATTTTTTTTATCTTTTCAAATAAAAACTCTGCTCACACTAAATAGTAACTCCAATTCTTCCTAACCTCAAGTTCTGGTAACCACTATTCTATTTCCTATCTCTCTGCATTTGGCTACTCTTAGAACTCCACTTAATTATATAAGTGGAATCATATGGTATTTGAATTTTTGTTCCTGGCTTGTTTCACTTAACCTGTTGTCAAGGTTCATCCCTGTTGTGATTTTACGACTGCATAGGAGGTCATCCCTGATGTCTGTGGGTGATTTATTCTAGGATCTCCTGCCCCAGGGACTGAAAGAATCCTTTTGTTTTCCTTTCCTATAAAGTACCAACTAGTTTTATGGGTGCTCAGCTTCCTTATATAAAATGACATAGTATTTGCATATAACCTGTGCAAAGTCTCTTATATCTCTAAACCATCTCTAGATTATACATAGTACCTAATAAAATGAAAATGTCATGTAAATAGTTGTTATACCATATGATGTAGGAATAATAACATGAAAATAGTCTGAGCCAGGTGTAGGTAGCACACCCCTGTAATCCCAGCACTTGAGAGGTTGAGGCAGGAGGATCGTTGCAAACTTGAGACCATCCTGGGCTACAAAGTGAGCCTAAGGCCAGCCTGAATTGCATAGCGAGACCCTGTCTCAAAAAGAAAGTCTATACATGTTCAGTACAGATGCAATAAAAATTTTTTGACTCATGTTTGAATTCAGACATGAAACACACAGATAGGAGGCATGATTGTATTCTGTTGCTTAAATACAGCATAATTTCTTTACCCAGAACTCTATTGTTGGGTGTAGAGGCTATTTTCAGTCTTTCATTCTGTCATACAGTGCTACAGTGTTCCTGAGTAGACATATCTTTGATATTTGTGTCAGTGCTTTTGGCTCAGAGAGTTCAGAGCCCTTGCTTTTTCATTGTAAAGTGCATCCCCATGAAAACCATGACACAAGTCTCTTCTCTGGCTCAGGCTTCCTGCTTCATTCCTTTCCCTTCAGACCAGAGCAAGTGCTAGTGGCTGGAGGCTAGAATTCTGGCCAGGCCACTAGACGGTAACAATGACTAAGCTTAGATTTCGTTTATTTCTTGGGTCAGCATCAGCCCTCTGGAGCTCTTTACCCTGTGCTCCAACACAAGCATAAACAGGGTTGAATATGTGAGGAAGTCCGAGAGAAAGATTCCTCCGGGATGTGTTTACACTGGTAGACCAGGCTTGCAAGGTTTGTTCTACCACCAATCTGCTCACGTTCAAAACTTTCCAAATCTTGACACCTGATGGCTGTAGGTTTTTCAAAGATCATCTAATCCAACATCTTCCACCTGCAGTGTGCATACCAGAATACTGAGGGCCAGAGGAACATGAGCCCACCTAGGGTCACTTAGGAATAGAGCAACCAGCCATCCTTTTGCCTGGAACTGTCGTTGGTCTAGTGTTGAAAATTCCACATCCTGGAAACTTCCCCACCCCGGAGCAGATCTCTGGTCACCCTCTGGAACTAGGGATAGACAGGATCAGACACACAATCCCAAACTCCAACTCTCTTTCCTCCATTTGCCCTCTCAGTCTATTTTCCAGTGCCCCTAAAATAGGAGTGACTTGTACCTCTGATTGTTCTTGCAGACAGGAAAGCTAAAGCGATACTTCACTGACCTGGAGGCCTTGGCCATGGTCACTGCTGCCTTCTGTCATGACATTGACCACAGAGGCACCAACAACCTCTACCAGATGAAGTGAGTCAGCTCTTACTGCCTCTCCCACCTCCTGTCATCTTGTTCTCTCCTCAGAATCTTTACCCAGGTCTGTAGGGCCCCTGGAATGATGAGTCAAGGGAAGGTCCCAGCTTCCCACTTCTTCCTGCCCTTAGAACTTGGGTCCAGCCCTATGGTAGACAGAAAAAAGGCCTTCCAAAAATGACCAGAGCCTGACGGTATGTTGTCTTACATTCCAAAGGGGCTTTGCAGATGTGATTAGGGAGCCTGAGATTCAGGGATGACCCAAGTGAGCCTCTTGTGGTCTGATGGGTCCTTGTAAGGAGGCAGGAAGGTTCCTCCATCTTGGAAAGGCACCATTTGGAATTTAGCAAAACACTGCTGAGAGATGAGGTAGAGTGAGGGCCATGTGCGCTGGCCTTAGGACCTGGACCAGGATCCCCATGTCGCAAGATGCTCAAGTGTCCCAGGCATAGGAGACAAAATGAGACCCTTCCGGCTTAGGAGGAAGTGGCTCCACGTGAGCAATGTAAGTGGCCTCTGGAAACTGGAAAAGGCAAGGACACTTCTTTTGAGCCTCCACAAAGCAGTCAGACCAAAGCAGTGGACAGGTTCTAGATTCTGACCTCCAGATCTGTAAGGTAATACATTATTTTTAGCTCTTAAGTCTATGGCAGTTTGTGGTAGCACAATCGGAAACTAATAGTTAAACCCCTTCACCGTTTCCTTCCCTGTGCTACCCGATGAATGAGTCTACATACCATTCACTCGTTCATCTTGTAGTATCTAAATGCCATGCATACGAGGTGGTAGGCTCTGTGCTAGCGAGGGAGGTTAGCATCCTTCGGGCTGGGTAGAATAGGGACCAGTTATTCCTATGTAATAGGTGAAGAAACTGAGAATTTTCTCTGAGTAAACCATTAATGAGCACTAGAACCACATTTCTGAATCTTCTTAACACTTCTGTACTGCACAAAGCCTAGAGACTATTTACATTTTACACTGGGAATTTAAGCACTGAGCACAGTGCTTGGGACATAATGAGGGTTCAATTAACATTTATTAAGTGAAAAAGGAAATTAATACAACGTTTGTAGGAATTCAGTGACTGTAGGGGATCCAGCAATCTCTAAAACTGTGCCTTTTCTTGGGAGTAATTGTCCGTACTATTCATCAGAGGCTCTAAAGAGTCTATGCCCATGGTCGCTTATGGAGGAAAAGCCAAGGACACAGTCAGGAAACTTGATGTTTGGTCTTCGTTTTTCATTGTGTCTCTGTGTGACCTTGTGCAAGATCTTTCTCATTCCTAGATCTCAATTTCCCTGCTTCCAAAATTAGTAAGTCGCAGGACTGGACTATACAGTCTTCCTCCCCACTTTAACCTTTCCATATTGATTCTCTCTCTTACTTAGATCCCAGAACCCACTGGCTAAGCTCCATGGTTCCTCCATCTTGGAAAGGCACCACTTGGAATTTGGCAAAACACTGCTGAGAGATGAGGTAGAGTGAGGGCCCTGTGCACTGGCCTTAGGACCTGGACCAGGATCCCCGTGTCACATGATGCTGAGTGTCCCAGGCAGCCTTTCGTCCTTCAGCCTGGGTTGCCATTCTCTCCCCTCACCTGGGGTGGCCATGGAGGTGGGTGGCTTTACTGCTAGCATAGTTTCTCATGCCTCTCCTCTGATTTTCTCTTCAGAGCCTGAATATCTTTCAAAACCTCAATCGGCGCCAGCATGAGCATGCAATCCACATGATGGACATCGCAATCATTGCCACTGACCTTGCTCTGTATTTCAAGTTGGTATTTCTTCCCATTTTAATAGTAACATGGTTATAACAGCAACACACTGTGCTAATTGGTTTTTCTTATGAATCAGGCCCTACTGTACAACCCTGGGAATTACATTATTCTCCTCCTACAGGCGAGGGAACTGAGGTCTAGGGCAAGGGATTGCTAAAATCAGATTGCTAAAATCAAATGAGAGATTATATTATTCCCTTCCTACAGGTGAGGGAGCTGAGGTCTAGGGCAAGGGATTGCTAAGATCAGTTTGCAAATGAGAAGCAGATTCTGGGTTAGAACCTCAGTCTTCAGTCCCGGGGGAAGGTTCTTTTTAACTTTGCTTTGCTAAATTTAATAGGCCTCCATCTGAAATAGCCAATGTAAGCAGCCAGGTATTGTGAGACTTGCTTCCTTGAACAAATGTGTGTCTGTAGGAAGAGGACAATGTTCCAAAAAATCGTGGATCAGTCGAAGACGTATGAGAATGAACAGGAGTGGACACAGTACATGATGCTGGAGCAGACAAGGAAGGAAATTGTCATGTGAGTTGAAACAGGGTTAAATGTTGACCCTTAGCCAGATTGTCGGGTGGGAGGCTGACTGACATCCCTTTGAGAATCAAACTCACGATCTTGCACTTACCAGGCAGCCACTGGGCTAAACCCCCAGCCCAGCCCTTGCTTTCGTGACATTCTGGGACACTTGCCATTTGGAAACTGGCCACGTGGGAAAAAGTTCTGTGTAGCACAAGTTATGACTTATGTTTCATCTTTATTTTAGCACAAAAAATATGACAATACATTTTTGTTTTCCTTTTCTATACAAAAAGTATAGTATGCGATGCTATCAATCATAAAATCTGTGATTTAGGTGAAAAAGTAATATAACTTTCACAATTTTTATAAAACTCAAAGCATTATACCAAATGAAGATTTGAGCGGTGGCTATATATCATTCAAAATATACAGGTTTGAAACAAGGATGTAACTCAAAGGCAGAGAAGTTGATTAGCATGCGTGAGGCTCCAGGTTTAACTCTCTAGTACAAAAAATAGCTGCATTATTTATGTGGAATTTATAGTATGTGCATAACTGACAATGGGGTCTATAACAGACGTTCGAATTGAAGTTGACTGGTAAATATTTCCCTAGTTCTCTCAGTGTATTTCCATGATTCAGTTCAGCTGATGAGAATGCGAGATGTGTCCATCTGAGTGAGGCTTTTTGTGAATACGTGGTCTGTGCCAAATGGTCCTTGCTTCTCTGTGATGGGTCCTAAGCAGTGATGGTGATAGCCAGGAAGGGTCTCAAGGAAAGATTATTTCTAGATACTTCTGTGGAAATGAGGTGTGATAAGTCACAAGAACTGCAAAGATCTGCAGGACAGAAGAGGATGCTCCTTCCTCAGCCCCACAGTTATCCAACCAGGTCTGATCCTGGGGAGCAGAGTGACCTCTTCTTATTGAGGGTTTTTTTTTTTGTCTTTTTCTTTTTTTATCGGTACCGGGGATCGAACTCACGACCACACACTTGTAAGGCAGGTGCTTATGCCGCTAAGCTAAATCCCCAACCCGACCTCTTCTCATTAAACAAGAGGGCACAGCCAAGTTCTGGCTGCTCCCAGGCAAACCAGGGGCCACCCCACCATAATTCTGTACAGCAGAAGAATTACATGGATGGGAAGAATGCACTCTTCTTGGTTGAAGGAGTGTGTAAGATTAGAAAATCACCTATTCTCTATAATTAAGTATTCATTTAAAGCAAATGCAACAAAATAATTTTATTTTGGAAGAAATGAGAAGTCAGATATAAAATTTGTATGAGAAGTATGCAGGAATAGCCAAAAAATTCTGAAATAGAAAAGTAATGAGACAGTGCTATCCTAGGCATGCATAGATGGCCAAGTCGATGGGATGGACCTGAAGGGCTATGTATGTGTTAAAGTGAATTTGAGACTTTATATGACTGGATGAGGTTGAAGTTCATAAATGGCATGGGGACCACAGGGTAGCCCATCTCATGTTGTATACCAAAGTAAATTCCAGATGAATCAAAAACTTTTTAAATAATGGAGAGGGAAATTAAAATAATAATTTCACAGTAGACTTTTCCAAGTATGACCTGAAATTCATAGGTTATAAAAATAGGTGACTTTGACTGCAAAAGATTGCCATGTCTGTGCAACACATGCACAAAAATTCAAAACCAAAGTCAGAGTGTAAGTGATAGGCTAAGGAAAAATATTTATAGCTCCTTTGACAGAAAAAGAACCAATTTTGCTGAGCATGGTGGCTCATGCCTATAAGCCCAGCACTCAGGAGGCTGAGGCAGGAGGATCACTGTGAGTTTGAGACCAGCCTAGGCTACAAAGAGAGCTCAAGGCCAGCCTGAACTGCATAGTAAGGCCCTGTCTCAAAAAGACCAAAAAAAGGGAGCCAATTTCTTCAGTAAATGTTAATACAATTCAAGAAAAAGGCCAACCCAACAGAAAAATGGATAAAAGACATGAACTAACATTTCTCAGAAAAGAAATTACAAGGATGTAAACAAATGAAGAAAATGATGATAATGAAAAAAAAATGGCTCATAGTGAGAGAAATGCAAAATAGAAATAAACTGGGATGCAATTACTCAGCCACTTCTCTTGATAACAGTGACAGTATTTGACCCACTGTGTTGGCCAGAGTAACAGGAAAGAGGCCCCTTCACGATGGTGGGCGTGTAAATAGGCGCAGTCTTTGTGGAAGGCAGTGGGGTTATATTATCAAAAGTGCAAATCTCCCTATGGTTCCACATGGAGGATTTTCCCCCATGTGAACTGAAAGGTATGTGGAAAGACATGATTTGTGTTCATAAATCAGATAAAAGATCATTTAAATACCCGGGGGGGCCCAGACTAGAGAAGTTATAGTGCTTTCATGCAGAGGAATGTCACACAGATTATGCAAACAAATGATATAACAGATAAAATGTTTGAAAGAAAGAAAAAATACAGATAGAAAAAAAGGAAGAAAGGAAGGAAGAAAGGAAGGACAATAGAGGCCTTCAATCATTCTAGTCTTAAGTAGAACAGTCCTCTGACAGGCATGCATATCCCTAAGGGAACCCAAAGTCTCCCAAAATACACATGGCTGGATAGTTTTAAGGGAGTCGATCTTCTTCCTCTTAATGTTAATTTTCCCAAGAAAACAAAAGTACAGAAGGTCAACTGTCCCTCATTCTTCTCTCACTTTACAAAATAAAGGTAGATGCCAGGGGTGCTGATGCATATCTGTAATCCTAGCGCTTGGGAGGCTGAGGCAGGAGTGAGTTGAAGGCCAGCCTGTGCTATGGAATGAGACCCTGTCTCAGAAATAAAAAAAGGAAAGAAAGAAAGAAAGAAAGAGGTTAGAAAACAAAGGTAAAGGATGATCTCTTCCCTTTTTGAATTTTCTGACAGCAGCACTTTGGCACAGAGGAACTGTATGAAATACTGATGTCTTAAAAGCTTCTTTGGAGAAAAGTACCATAAACTCAATGAATGTCTGGCTTCAAGCCTTCCCTGTCTCATATACTTGGAGAGACACACACATTTCCATGCACTCTACGCAGAGCTCTTCTGACAGCAGAAGGTACGCAGCAGGAGTTTCTCTTCCCCACACAGCTCTGGTCCTCTGTGATCCCCAGCTGTAAGTCCTACAGTCCAGTTCGGTGCTGAGCATCTACTGAGAGTTACATAAGCTGGGAGTCATTGAGATGCTCTCAGATATACTTACTTGAGCTGAAAAATAAAGTCAGACTCTTTCAGACAGATTCCATAAGTCAAGGACTCATTCCCACTAAACTGCCCTGTGTTACGGTGCCAGTCTCAGGTCTGGGTTCTGTATGATTACAACCAACTGGCTATAAATCTGAGATTTCCACAACTCCCTCTTCAAGTGTGATAACTTGCTATGATGTATCACAGAACTCAGGAAAACACTGCTTGCATTCACCAGTTCATTATAAAGGATATGATAAAGATGACAGACAGAGCTGGGGATAAGGCTTGTGGCACAGCGCTTGCCTGTTAGGCGTGAGGTTGTGAGTTCGATCCCCCATAGCTCCCCAAAACAAAACAAAACAAAAAAACAGACAGATAAACAAAGAAATAAAAGCTACACAGGGTGAGGCCTGGAGATGCACCACCCTCAGAACCTGTGTGTGTGTTCGTCATGCTGGTGGTCATCACGTCCAGTTGTTTTCACGGAGCTCAATCTCCAGTCAATGCTCCTTCCCAGAGATTGGTGAATACAGCCCCAACTTCCCAGCTGTAGTCATTTAATCTTCCTGGTGATCAGCCCCAGCCTGAGGCTACCTAGGGACCCATCTAAGTCATCGCGCTGGCATAAACTTAGATGTGATCAAAAAAGCCTCCTTATGTACACCAAAAGACACTCCTATTGCTCAGGAAATTCCATGGTTTTAGGAGTTCTGTGCAAGGAGTTAGGACAAGGGTCAAAGGTTTCTTGCCATAACCCATGGATGTGCAATATTTTAAAAGCAAAACAAGGCACTGGAAATAGAGGGCTTTATTCTGGGATGTGCAACAGGTTGGTAGGATCAAAGGCACTTTTCATTTACTAATCATTAATCTCAGAGGACTTATCAACTGTCCAAGGACCATGATATACCAGTAATAAGTGGTAAAAGTGGCAGCTCCTGATTCTTATCTATCTAATCTATCATGTCTATCAATCTATCCATCTAATCTGTGATAGTCAGATTTTCCATTACTATGACCAAATACCTGAGACAGTCAGCCTAACATTCTCTTCAGAGGGCATGTCCTCATTGACCTAATTTCCACTAGGCTCCACCTCCAAAAGCCTCTGCCACATCCCCACAGTGTGTGGCCTTCAACACCCAGGTCTTTGGGGAGACAGTCAAGAACCAAACCATACCTCTGTCCATCTGTCAGTCAGTCTGTCAGTCAGTCTATTTCCTCTGCCTACATACCTGTCCATCTACCTCAACCTTTCTTAGAATTAAAAATGAGAGAGAATAATAAAAAGAAGCAAGAATAAAAGAGAAGTTGGTGTCATCGAGGCCCTTTCTAATCTACTTATATGAGTTAAAAGATAAAGTGAGATCTTTTTCCTACAGAAGCAAGTTGGCTGCTTTTGTTGACAGTGAAAGTCTGGCGTTTCCAGTGAGGTACACAGCAAACATTTCCATAAATTAGATGAGTTACAACTGTGGCTTCAAAGTTCTGATGAAAGCATAATCAAAACTCATTATAAGATGAAGGCATTATAAAAAAACACTGGAAATATATATAAATTAATATTTTAATTTACCTAACTCATGCTAGGTATCTTGGATTAACCTAAGTGCAGCTAAGAAAATGTCAGAGGTGTAATTAATAGGCATATGAAAAGTCTTGGTCAAATCTTTATGGCATGCTTCCCAGAAGTGAAAGATTCTGATGCTGCTTTCAGCAAAATGGAAGGAGATTCTAATTGAACTGTCAGCTGGTAGATCGTTCAGCATAATGATCACAGTACGACTTTTAGCCGTTAGCTCAGAAGAATTCGAAGAATTGAGTGACATTGTTGTAACTAAATTTCCATTTCCAGGATTTTTTAAGTATTTGAAATTGTAAAATTAAAAGCAGGCGTAAAACAGATGTTGATTCTAACCTAGTCCAGCAATAAAAAAATACATTCATTAGCTGATTTTTTAAAAGTATAAACCTATCCTATCTCATTAAGTGATAAATTTCCAGCCAGGCTGGTACATCATGTACTCCCAACACTTGGCTGAGGCAGGAGGATCTCAAGTTCAAGACTGTAGTGAGACAGAGAGAGAGAGAGAGAGAGAGAGAGAGAGAGCGAGAGAGAGAGAGAGAGAGAGAGACAGAGACAGAGACACACAGAGAAAAAGAGAGATTTCCAAAATCAAGTTAGTATGTTTAGTAATTGTCTCAGTTACTTAGCTGTTATTGCTGGGACAAAATACTTGACACCCAAAGTTAAAGGGGTAAAGGTTTATTTACCTCATAAGTTGTAGAGGTTTCAGTCCTTAATCAGCTGGTTCCAAGGCAGTGGGGTGGCATGGCAGACAGGCGTTGCAGAGGAAAAACAGCTCATGGCAGGTAGAAGATACCAAAGCAAGCAAGAGATGACCGCAGTTCTTTCTATCCCTTATATCTATCCACGTTACTTAGAGTGGGCGGGGTTCACACCCTTAGTCCTAGTGCCTTTGATCCTAGCATTGCGATATGAATCAATTCCAGCCTTACAGTTGAGATCCAGCCACCTCTGAAAGTGCCCCACCTATGACTGCACGAGACTTCGGGGGCACATCTAACACAAGCCATGTAATAATCATTTATAAAAATAGGTACTACAGCCAGGCATGGTGATGCATGCCTAGAATTCCAGCACTTGGAGGCTGAGGCAAAAGGATTCTCATGCGTTTGAGGCCAGCCTAGACTACATAAGCAAGTTCAAGGTCATTTTGAACATACATAATGAGACTCTGCCTCAAAAAAAAATAGATATACATTTTGGTTAATTGTATAATAATTTAATCCAAAATTAAGTTTCTCAGTACTTGGAGGTTTATGGTCAAAGAAAAAGCTTAATTATATAATTCGAAGTAGTGAGCATACCTGGTTGCAGATAGTGTGAAAGGGTGATTAATGAAAGACTTTCAAAAATATATTATGTATCTCTGTCTATCTATATATACATATATGTGTACATATGTATATGTACACACAATATTTGCTTAAAATTTTCTGGGAAAACCAAGTTGAAAAATAAATTTAAAGAGAAAAGTTTGTCCAATTTTTAAAAAATTCATGGATGATGATGTGTTGATGATATCCAACTGCTATGCTTTTTAGATTCTTCTGGATTTAAAGAATTCATTTTAAGCTGTCAACATTTGTAATGTGCTGTAAGTCAGATCCTTTGCAAATATTTAAGTCTATGATAAAACAGTCTAATATGTACAATGGGAAGCGTGTAAAGACCTGGAAAGCAAACTTTGTTAACCTTTGCACTATTGATATTTGGGGTCAATAACTCTTTATTTTGGATGGCTGAAGCTGTGTGCACAGTCGGATGTTTCACACTGTTCCTGGTCTCCACCTGCTAGGACCCAGAGGCAATTCCTTCTTCTCAGTTGTCACAAAAAATACCTTTGGATATTGCCAAAATACCCCGTTAGGGTAAAATATCCCCCTGCCTGAGAATTATTGCTATAAAGCAATTGAGGGCCTGTTGATTAGTCTATGAGTTGTGTGACTAGAACTGCTTCTCACCTGGATAGAGTGACGCGGTTCACACTTGGAGCTCTGCTTGGACCTCAGCTTCTCAGCGAGGATGATGGTGACATCTATTTTATGAATTATCATGGGGGCTGAGCTAGGGAAATGGGGAGCGCTTGGCAGTCTCATAAGACACATATTCGTTCTTGGTTCCAGCCCCTCACACAGAGCTCTTTTTTAAAAAAATTTATTTAAAGAGAAAAACAAAACTAAACAAAGCAAAACAGTAAAAGGCTAGAAGTAATACAGAATTTCAAGAGAAAAAATATACAGTAAGAATTCACCAGTTTACAGATCACACATTGTCATCTCAGAAACAGTTGTCCAGAGTACAAAATTAAAGCATACAAAGTGGACATTAATACAGTGAGATTGCAGACAGTTCTGTTTAGTGATCCAACAAAAACTCAGCAATATGGTTCTCTATCCTACACTCACACAGAGCTCTTAAGACCCTTGGAATTTCCTGAGTGACAGAAGTGTCTTTGTTCTAATAAAGTCATTCTCAGTAGGGCCTTAGTTAGCTTCAGGATGGGGGTTGGTCACCAAAAAGAGCAAGCCTTGCTTAGCAGTGTGAAACTTTTCTTCGACCCCACCTTTAACCTCTAGGCAAGAGAGAAGGGCTGCAGGTCCAGTTAAACACTGTCATGCCTATGTGATAAAACCTTCATAAAAACCTCTAAACATGGGGGCTCAGCGAACTAGGCTGGAGAGCATCAAGGTGCTGGGAGGCCGCATGTCCAAGGCTGTGGAAGCCTCCACACACCCCTCTACCCTGCCTCTTCTTCATCAGGCTCTTCCTGCACTGCATCCTTTCCCGAGTTTTGTGAGCTGATTTAGCAAATCACTGAAACTGAAGTGGGGGATGGGGGCTCCTGCTAGATTTGGTGACCAAGTCAGATAGACGTGTGGGTTCCTGGATGCAATACCTCAACCCCTCTCAGGCGAGGCAGTCTGATGGGACTGAAACCTTAAACCCGGGGAGCGCATACTAACTCCAGGTAGTTAGTGTTGGAAGTGAATTGAAGTATAAAGAGAAAAAGTCTAGAATGGCTTGAATTTAGTTAGAAGCCAGAGCAGGGCAGGGTAGGGATGAGAGGAGAGACGATGAAAAGCTATTCAGCTAACAGCTTTGCCAAAGCAATAAAAACACATTTTAAAAAGTGTGATGAAATCATGACTCAAAACTCCAGGAAGACAAGCAATAGACACACAGGGTCTGCTGTGCGTCTAACTGAACACCACCAGTAGTTACTGAAGAATGTTGTAACCCGAACCCTTTTGCAACTTTCATAGATAATGGAAACAGAAAATGAAAAATTAAGAATTTACATTTATTGGAAAAAGACACATAGTACAAACATTATCCAGGTCAAAGCCAAATAAAAATGCTAGTAATGAGAAAAAAAAGAAAACCAGGAAGATGGCCATCATGGGGCCATCGTATTCTGCCCACAACCCCAACCACGTGAGATGCAGCCAGTGCTTCTCCATACAAACCGCCCTCCTTTCTAAAACACTCGCAGCTTCTCAGTACCCGCCCTTCCGGTCTATAGTCAGGGAAGGCTCCTTCCTCAAGCTGATAAAAAGTGCACCTGACCCTGGTCTGGCAGATATCTTCCAAATTCCACCCAGCCTTGTGCGTGGTCCTTATGGAAGTTTGTCCCAGCACCTGGTCTTTTGTTTTTCTGGCTAGCATCTGTAATGGCTAATAAACCTTTCTTACTTCAGAGATCCCCTAGTCTCTAGGGTTTTGGTTCAACGTGAGAAGACGCCAGCTCCTTCCAGCGCTCTGGTTATTTCTGAATGTTTCTGTCTGGAGCTTCTGTGGTCTGAGGTCCTCGCCTCCATGCCTTGATGTGTCCAGTGTCTCCAGGCTCCTCCTCACCACTCTTGTGCTGCCCTACCTCAGTCTCCGCACTCAAGGGCCAGGATGCCAGGATGCCCCGGGGTGTGACTGCCCATTTCTCTTCATGTCCTTTGTCTCCGCTTAGTTCCAGCTTTCATGATTTTTTTAGTACTGGTGATTGAACCCAGGTTACTTTAAGACAGAGTCTCACTAAATCCCTGAGCTGCTCAGACTGGGGCTTAAATTTGTGCCCTTTCTGCCTCAGCCTTCCAGATGCCAGGGTTACAGCAGTTTTTGCACTTGACAGTGACAGGCTGTCATACTCGACAGTGACCCAACTCAGAGCTGGAAGTGCTCGGAGGTTCTGCAGGGCTGGGACATGAGGCTGCTGTCTGGTTTTGTGAACTCATAAGCTAAGAATGGCTATTATGTTTTTGAATGACTGAAAAAAATCAAATGAAGAATATTATCTCTGAGAAAGAAAAATTTAAGACAACAAAATATCTGTGTCTAGAGATAAATTTCTGTGTGTGTGTGTGTGCATGCACATGTGTACACACTCACTGGGGACTGACTCCAGGGGCTTGTGCCTGCTAAGCTCTATCACTGAGCTATACTCCGAGCCCTCAAACTTTATTATTTTATAGAGGGCTGAATTCAGACTTCACAGAGCCCTGGGCTCTTTTGCCTTTCTGGTTCCTTCCTCTATAAAAATAAATCAATTAATCAAACAATCATACTTTAGGACTATGTTGGCATTAAGAGAAATATAATCCAGGAAGACTATATTCTTATGTATTTGCTATTGTTCTATCTTATTTTCTGGTTTTGAGAGAAAATTAAAAATCAAATATTTTCACAGGTCCTAAAAAGTTAATACAGTCCTTCCGCCCTGCCAAATGGATAAGTCAACCTGCTTTTCCCTATAATGTAAGACTGTCTGAGTCACAAAGATGGAGCTGAGTAGGTGCAACAGAGATCATGTGGCCTGCAAAATCTAAAAAGTTTACTACGTGGCCCTGTGCAGAAAAGCTTGCCAACTCCTGGTCTAGTGTTTTACAAAGCAGGAAAGTGACTTACATAGTGACACACAAGTATTCACAGGTCTAAGACAGGACCCAAGTTGTACCAGCCCTCTCTTGCACACCCATGGCTTCCTCAGACTGCTCCAGGGTCTTCTGGAAGGGTGTAGGTGAACAGCAGACACACATGGGGCTGGCAAGAGGAGAGCTGGAATGTTTTCCATGGGAAGTCCTTGGGAGGCAGGAAGAGTGGCACTGAGCCTCATGGCCTCCCAGCTGAGGTCAGGGAGCACCGTTTATCTTGGGAATGCACAAGAATAAAAGTTCAGTTTGCTTCAGGTCAGCCTAGCTGCCACACTCAGTGACCAGAATGATTAATTCGATCAAGGCGCTAAGTTAAAGACGCTGGGTGTTCTACAAAATCAACTTCTGTGTTGTGACAGTAACCCTAGGGAGGCACATTTATTATACCAGATCACAGGAAATTGCTGGGTTTCAACTGTTTCGGATCCACAAAATCAGATTTTCATAGGCTCCAACCTAATTATCTCATTTTACAAACCAGCTAAGGCTGAAAGATATTGAGTTCCTTGCTCTGATCAGAGCCAGTCAGGAGACAGAAGACGGAATCAGCATGGATTCCAAAGCGCTTCTGTTAAACCCCAGTCCACCCACCTTGATGACTCTGGCCAATCAAGAAGATAAGGCTTGAGTTTGTGAGCCCACAGACCTCTGTGGCCCACTCTCACGCTCTTCTGCATTATAGCCCGGCCATCCCCCACCCTCTTGTGCTTTGGCCTCCTCCTTCCTCATTTCTCACATATTATCTCCTGCAGGTCCTGTAGAATTTATTGCGTAAATGACATGCCTCTGGACACTTTCACCACCACCTCCATCTGCCTAGACCCTGCAGGCCCTTCCATACTGGGTCCCTGACATGTGTCCCTGTCTCCTCCACATGGAAACCACTGACCTTTGTGAAATGCAGATCTGAACATGTCAGCTTTCTGTTCAGATCCTCACTGGCTTTTCCCATTGCCCTGAAGATACATCTCTGCCACAAGCTGCCCAAGTGCCACATTTTAAATGATTGGTATCTGCTCATCTCCGGGACACCTCTAATATCACTCCTGAGCTCTGCCTTCCTTCCAGCCTACTAGATGCCAGGCTTCCTTACCCCAGGGCACCAGCTGTTCTCTTTGGCTGCTGTGTTTCCTCTGCTTTCTTCTTTGTCAGGTTAACAGCTCTGCGCATGCTCCACACAGCACTGCACAGTTAATAGCTCAACAGGTGCTTCCTCAGGGAAGCCCTCACTGACCTCCCCAGTTCATGCCATGCTGTCTTCAAGAATGAACCTCTTTTCTATGGGCAGTTGTTTGTTTACATGCATTTGCAAAATAAAAGTGCAGTTCCCCACGTCTGCAAGCTCCCCCAAAGCAGGAACCATGTGAACCCCCTCCTGCCGGTGCAGGAGGGATAGGTGAATGCTCCTTATCACCCATCTCCTGGAGGCCCTGTGTCTGCACACTCTCCACCTCCAGCATGGTGCCTGTTCTTCTGGCCCCCTTAATGGAGAGTGTCTCAGCTCAGGCTGAATGAAAATGTGACCATAGACATTTCTCTCTCACAATTCTGGAGGCTAGAAATCCAAGATCGAATTGGTTTGTGGTGAGGCTCGCCTTCTGGCTTACATACAGTTGTCTTCTGGTCATACTTTTACATAGTAGGAAGAGGAAGCTGTAATGTTTTTCTCCACTTAGCACCAATCCCATTGTGGGGTTCCAGCCTCATGACGTAATCTAAAACCAACTATGTTCAAAAGGTCCTAATACCATCATACTGAAGTTAAGCTTGCAACATCCAAACAGGGTGGGGACCACAGATATTCAGGCCACATCGGAGAGCTCCTGTGTACCCCTCAAGACCCTATTATACTGTCATTCTTTAGGTGCCCCCTGAGCTGAGATAGCTGTTCAACCTTTAGGGTTTTTTCTTTTTAGTTGCTTGAGTTCCTGCGGGCCTCACTGGGTACCCCACTCTCAACATGTTCCTTAGGACCCCAGCACACATCCGCTGTGATACTGAAATAATGCTATGCCTCACCCCTAGGACATGAGACCTGTCAGCTTTTTTCATCCTCTCTGCTAAGTGTCCTCTCATTTCAGGGACACATTCTCTCTGCTGATGAAACACTTGGGAGTGTTTTCATGTGACCTCTGAAGTCAAGGAAAGCAAACATCTAGTGATTTCCTGAAGCCATATCCGTGGATTTAACTGTAGGCAGTGACATATCAGGAAATGAGGACTACGCATGGCTGAGCTACTGTTTGCTTAATCTGTTTGATACCAAGCTTCACAAGTTCACAGCATTCAACACTAAGCATAAGGCATGCATTGCAAACATGTGCCCTTTTACACAAATATGTGCCCTTTTACACGTACACAAAGGGTATCACAAAGGTGTTTCTAAGAATGTACGCATTTCTGAAAGTTTATTCACTGAAAGGATCATAATTTTGTGAAGGATTACATAATGAAATATTTTATTCAAACTTGTTAATATTTTATAAGTAACGTAGTCTCCCAGAACTTATATAAAACATTATATAATTCACCTGATTGTGAAATCAGCTATGTAACACGTTATGTTCAGAGCCCCAGCCCTCTGTAACAGCCCACACCTAGTCCCCCGCAATCAGTCTCCCCAGGTCAGGTTGGCTCTGCCCTCAGTGCCCGCCTCGGTAGGCAGGCATCACTGCAGGCAGCCCGAATGCTGCAGTGTCTGCCGCCTTCTCTCCCTCTCTCTCCTTTCTTAGCTCCTCCCCACACCTGCGGCACAGCTCTGAGGAGGTGGCAGCCTCCTTTGCTTGCCTCTGCCACTTACTGAGTACAGTGTGGAACTTAATGCCCACACCGCCTGGCCCTGGATTGTCATGCCTTTGCACCACCCCCACCGCCCCCCACCGCCCCCCACCGCCCCCCACTGCCCCCCTCTCTCCTTTAGCTCAATCCTTGTTTCCTTCTTTTTCCTTTCTGCTCATACTGCACCCAGCTGTGTAGGGAACCTGTCCTGCCTTCCCGTCACTGTGAACCTCCTTTAACTCCGAATCCTCTCTTTCTTTCTCCTCCTCCTCCGTCTTTTGCACATGCCCTCCTGATGCTGCTGATCATGCTGCTTTCTAGACCGTGCCTTTTCAACAATCCTGTCACTGCCAGTAGAGGAAAAGGTGGTTCTTAAGGAGCTGCAGAGCTCAGCTATTAGAATGGTCGTGCCCAACAGATGAACAGTTCATCTGTGGAATTCAAGATCCATGGTGGGAGCAACAAGAGGGAATAAAAGTCTAAAAACATTCTTTCTTAATTGTGGCAGGACACAATAATGAGAAAGAAGTTGAGAAGCAATGCTGTACTTTAGACAAGAGAAAGGAGCTCTGAAGGTGGGGCTAGATTTAAATGAATTTGATGGGTATACACTGCGTGGCACAGAAAACAACCCGGCGTGGGCACATTAGGCACAGACTCGGGAACTACCATCCATCATCTCATTTAATCTTATACCCACAAGTGAAGCGTTATTATCATTATGGACGGGGAAACAGTTTTAGAGATCTTGGGTTAACTGCTCAATACCAAAGCTCTGATAATTGACAGAGGCAGGATTTAACCCTAGCTACAGCGAGGGGGAAAGTCCTTTTCTTGCAGGGGGAGTGAAGTGACCTGCTAGTGGGGGCAGAGAAAAGTGGAACTAACTCACAAGTGTACTGTAAATGGCACTGGGCTGATGGATGGTGTCCTTGTGTCCAGGGCCATGATGATGACTGCCTGTGACCTCTCGGCCATCACCAAGCCCTGGGAGGTACAGAGTAAGGTATGGCCTCCTGACCTTGGGGAGGACTCGGGTCTGCTGACAGCGACAGAGGCCTAGACTCAGCCTTGCTCCAGGGCCAGCCCACTTTTGCTCCTTTTTCCTCTATTAAGATGTGGGAATCACTTTAGTGTCTCACAGGGGCAGGGGTGGGTTTATCTTTTTTGTACAGTTGGAAACAGATGCAGGGGGCGTGGGAGAAGGAGGATTGTGGTTGGAGCTTTGAGAGAGAGAGAGAGAGAGAGAGAGAGAGAGAGAGAGAATGCTTGTGGGTGTGTGATGAGGTCTATCTGTTGCAGGTGGCTCTGCTGGTGGCAGCTGAATTCTGGGAGCAGGGTGACTTGGAGCGCACGGTGCTGCAACAGAATCCCATTGTGAGTACATGGGGAGGGGAATCAGCCTGTTTTTACCCTGTCCTGACCAAGAAATGTGATCGGACATAGAGGCGTGTGACGGTAACTTAGGGCCAACTTTTCCTAGGTAGTAATTCTTTAAGGATGGTGCCCAGGTCACCCTCAACCTCGCTCCCTAAGACCAGGTTAGAGCTGCAGTTTCCTTGATCCTGCCCTCAGCCACTCATGGAGGGTTTGGGATGGGGCCCAACAGTATTGGTGCTAATGAGCCCTCCTGAAGTTTTGGGACTTTCTCTCGAGATGTCCTTAGCTGACCCAACTATGCAGAGCTTGACACGTGGAGACCTAGGTCAGGGTCACTCCTTCAGTTCCAGCAGTGTAGGTGTCCACCTCCCGGACCCTGCTGTGATGCAGCAGAGCGCAAAGGCAAGGCCCGGCCCACCTGTGAACTGCGTGTACATATCTGTTAGCATTAACAGTTAGCAGCAGGCGCCCATTCCTGTTTCATCCATTCATTCTTGTATGCTTTTCACTTTTGGGTGGAGCATTTTAAGTAAATCACAGACACTGTCATTTCTTCCATAAATACTTTAGTGTCTCTAAGAGATGAGATCTCAGGGTAGATGAATACAGACATATAATCACAATACCGTTGTCACACTCACAAAGTTAGTAGTGATACTTTAATACCGTCTAATCCTGACTCATTTTTCCTGGTAGAGAAAAAGAATTCAACTGATTTGTTCAAATCAAGATCCAATTAAGAAACACACAGCCTCCCTTTGCTATGTCTCTTAAATCTCTTCTAATCAGTATCAGGTCCCCTCTATTCACCTGCTCGCTTTTTTTCTTTCTTTCTTTCTTTCTTTCTTTCTTTCTTTCTTTCTTTCTTTCTTTCTTTCTTTCTACACTGTTTATTTGTGGAAGGCAGTGGCCCTTTGTTGGGTAGATTTTCCCCGTGTTCTGGATTTGGTCAGTTACACCCTCTGGGTTATTATTTGACATGTCCCTTTAGTCCTGTATCTCCTGCTGATTGCTTATCGGGTGGGGAAGCTTGATGGCTTTAGCAGGTTGGGCCCTTCTCACTGCTCAGAGCAGTTAACTCTCTCTCCCACAATAGCCCATGATGGACAGAAACAAGGCAGATGAGCTTCCGAAGCTTCAAGTCGGCTTCATTGACTTTGTCTGCACCTTTGTGTATAAGGTAGGTCCTTGCTTCCTCAGACCCGAACAGATGCCTTTGACAAGCCCGGGACTCCCAGCGATATCAGGGATTATAATCTGTGACAGGTGACCCAGGAGTAAGGTACATTTCATCGCCTGTGGTGCTGGATTCCTGGTCTGTAGCCTAGGGAACGGCACATCCTAACTGCATACCTAATAGCTGTGGAACAAATAATTAACTGGGTTTCAGACGGGAGGTCGAAATAGTGCAGACACACGCCTTCCTAACTCCCATGGTGGGGAAATGTGATAGGCTGACATTGCTGGGAGACAAGCTGGACTTTCTCTTTGAGGTCTTGTTTAAGGTTAAAATTTCCCTTTGGAGAAACCCATTGCTCCCAAATCCACCTCCCTTTTAACTTTTATTTTTCCCACAATGCACCTGAGGAGACAGAAAAAGAAATGGCAGGGCCAGTGTCACTGGGCCCAGCCATGGCATAGGAGTAGAAATAGGACCCCCACCCCCACCCCGAGTCCAGTGCTCTCTGCTGTAGGAGCTGCAGATCTTTGGTCAGGAAGGAGAAGTACAAACGCTCCCCGAGGGGACCAGAGTGTCTGGTGGACTGTGGACCAAGCGAGGTCCTGTGGTCCACAGGGCAGGGCAGCGCCCTCTGGCAACAACAGTGTTCTGAAATGAGGTGCTGGCTCAGGCTTCCCTGATTCAGCCACCTCCTGAGTAAGTCCTGTCATTGTCCTCACTGGCTGTGAGTGACCTCCACCCAAGGTCTCAGCACTCCAGAGTCTAGACCCAGTTCGGGTATCTCCAAGCACAGCTGGCCCTGGATGGAACAGGCAAACCCGCTCCATCTGGCTGCACTGCTTACAAAGGTAGGAGTGACGAGACTTGTTTTCTCACCTCAAAGGAGCCTTTGAGGATCAAAGGAGATACATTGCATCACACACTGTAATATGCTGTGCTCAAAGCATTATTTTGACCGTTAGAGGTATGAAAACTCTCATGAATCATTTCAACAGCCTGCTTTCACTCACGATATTTACTGAGGATCTTTGTGTCCCACACCCTGTGCTAGGCCAAGGCTGCCCCAGAGACAAGGCAGCCCACGGCCCCACTCTCTCCAGGGTACCAGGCTCTGGCAGAGGCGGGCAAAGGGAGGCATTGCAAGAAAATGAGATGTGGTGAGAGAGGGCTTTGGGACCATGCAATATGGGATTCAGTTTATCTAGGGGGTCAGACTAGACTTCCCTGAGGAAGTGACAGTTAAGTGGAGTCCTCTAGAAAAGAGAGGAGCTTAGAGTTCCAGCAGGGAACAGCTGGGTGAAGCTCACAGATGGGAGGAGACCGGAACTGAGAGCTGGAGTGCCCCCATGCGGGGTGGGCTCAAAGGGAGGAAGGCACATGTGGAGGGATGAGGGGCTTGTGCTTCCTCTAGAAGGAGGGGGCTGCACAGGAGGTCTTTGAGCACCAGTGACAAGGGCTTTGTGGTGTAGACTGAGTGTCTGTAGAGGCAGCATTCATGCAAGCGGCTCGGTCCAGCCAGGTCTCCACCTAGAGCTGAGACCAGACATGGCCCTGAGACAGAATCTGTCTCTGCCTCTGTTTCTCCCTTTCCTTCCCTTGTTCCCTCCTTCTCTCTGTCTCTCTCTCTTCCTCGGTCTGTCTCTCTACCTCTCTGTCTGTCCTCTGTCTCTCTCTGTCTGTCTGTCTCCCCCTCCTCTCTCTCCCAGGAGTTCTCCCGTTTCCACGAGGAGATAACCCCCATGCTGGATGGGATCACCAACAACCGCAAGGAGTGGAAGGCCCTTGCTGATGAGTACGACACCAAGATGAAGACGCTGGAGGAGGAGAAGCAGAAGCAGCAGGCAGCCAAGGAAGGTGCGTGGCAGGGGATGGAATCTGACCACCCAGACATCCAGCGCGCAGTGTGTCTGGGTCTGCTGTGTGGCTCCCATTCTGTGTGTGAGGCACCGAGGCTGCAGAGTGGCAGAGCCTGGTTCCCAGGTCGAGATTAAGGGTCCTCCAGGCTTCCCAGCCGGTGACACCAACCAGCATAGGGCTGACTCTGACCCTGACTCCAGGGCTGCCAACAGGTGCTCCTACTCTGGGGAGGAGAAAACCTAGAATGATGGGCTGGAAGGCACTTTAGAGACCGCGTTTTCCATCTCCTGTCAATGGCAGAGGCTTCCTACCCTGCATGATGCCTTCACTGTTTGAGGGGTCTTCTGTGGACTCAGTTCTTCTTCTTGGAGCTCTAACTAGCCCCCACGACAGCACTGCTCCTCCTCTTCTAGTCATTTCTCTGATTAGTTGTGTGCTCCGATTCTTCACAGGACTTGGCTTCTAGTTCTGCCACAACCCTGGATGATCTCCCCTGCCTATGCCTTTCCTTACACGATTCTCCGCATGGACAGTCAGGTCCAGTTCTGCCCTGCTCTGGGCAGTGTGGAGTGACCTAGCTGGGCAGCTGCTGTAAACATGGGGCTGCTTGAGGGCTTTATGAGTCATGTTTTGCACACTTCCCAAGAGCGTCCTGCATGAGTTACCACAGATATGCATAGCTCTTAAAACTTTCCAGAAAATGGGAGCAAAATGTCCAAGAAAGAAGCGTCTTTTCCTAATTTGCATCAATCGTTTTTTGTGCTAGTGGCAATGCTCACAAACTTGCCCGCAATTCTTTTCCAATGCTGAGGACTGAATCCAGGGCCTCGCACATGCTAAACAAGTGCTCCACCACCAAGCTGTACCCCCAGGCCCAAGTGTGTTTCAATAGGAATTCATTGTCCATGTCTTAAAATTGAGGCTTTTTGGAATTAAAATTCCCTATTTCCAGGTTTCCAGGTTTCATCCAGGTCACGCTCTGGCTAAGCAGTCTTGCAGTTTTGAGTAAGTGACTGCAGCTGAGCAGCACTTGCCCTGCTTGGACGGAACAGGGGCTGTCTCATTTCGTCACAATTTCCACGGCTCTCTGTGTCTCCCAGACACTGGTGCCCACTGCGGGCCGCCATCTGTCATCCTCTTAGTGCTGCCATTTTTCTGGGGGAAGGGGAGTTCTTGATGCCTCCTAATCTCCTGACACCTCATTTACCTTCTGCGCATGCGCTTGTCTGCTGGCCCCTGAAAGTTCTTGAGTTTACAATTCTCGGTCCTAACCAGGTCCACGGGGGAGCCCACTGCAGCCTCCTCTCACTTGCTGTGTTTTCTTCTGTCTGATTGCAGCAGCCTCAGGCAACCATCCTGGGGGCACCGCTGGCCCAGGTGATGCACCTGTGTCCAAGTCCTGTTGTGTCCAGTAGCACGACCAGATTGCGGCTGAATAGGACCGGGCTACCTCGCAAAGGAAGGAGTCACCCAAGTAATGGAAAGCCACAGACCTCCCTGAGACACGATTTGTCACAGGATCGTGACAAAAATCCTGTGATCCTGAGTCACAGGATTTGTGAGCTGATGGAGCAGTCAGCTTATATCCTAGTTAGGGATTTTTAAAACGTCTTCTTAGCGCCGAGAACTGTCTACTAAGCTAAAACCGGTATTCTAGGTTTCCTAGACACCAGTTCAACTTTTAATTATGTCAGATTCACCTTCTTGCTTAGAATCACTTTTGTATTTTATTTTATTTTGCAGTACTGGGGATTGAACCTAGGCAAATGACGTACTCCTGAGTTATATTTCCAGCTCATTTTTGTTCTTCAATTCATTGTAAAAGTTTTTGATCACTCTCAAAAGTAGAAAATTGTCCAGTGAATCTCCATTTGAATATCAAGATTTGGCCACATTTGCTTCCTCTGTATATGTATTATTTTTTTCTTAACATTTTTCAGGTGTTTTTTTTTTTTTTTTTTCCTTAGCTAAAGTATTGAAAAACAAATTCCAGACATAGCAGCACTCCTCCCTTCTCTTAAAGGAGCAGGTCATTTTATAACTTGACTACAGTATTATGTGCAGCCATTGGGCACCTCATACCCAACTGTGGGATACACTGGGATGACCAGCCCCTTCCCCAGGAAGAATGGGACCTCAATAGCCACAAGCGGTAGCAGATGGTCAGGCCCTCAAGGGTTCTCCCAACAGCAAGGACACTCTTTTCCAGGATGTTCTACAGCTAAGGCTGAGGGAAAGTCCACCCTGTCTTGGTGCAGCATGGGCACACCCTGCAATGTCATTCTAGCTCCAAGCCTCCTGTGTGGTCCGCCAAGGCCACTGCCAGGCTTGCGTCCTGTCCAGCTTCCCCCTCCCACTCTGGCTTCCTCGTCTTCCCTCCCCTCTCCTCTCCCTGCTCCTCTCTCCTTCCCTTCCTAAGCATCCTGGGGAACCCACCTGTGCTGCTAGCCCTCAGCCATCTTTCTCCCACTATCACAAAAAGACCTTTGAGGTCTGATTTGTTTAGATCTAGTTGCTGTGTTTGAATTTGGTTGTCATGTTTCTTATTTGTTTGTTTTGGGGGAAGATACACTTTGTATTCTTCCCTCTCCCATTGATTTTAAGGAAGGCAAATTTACGTAACAGTCTCCATTGCGCAACTTCTGTTTCAATTAACAGGCATTTGATTGGTTGTAAAAATGGGTAAAACTTTGTAAAAAATCAAATCTAAGTATGCTCTGGTGAATCTGCCACCTCCCAAATCTAGGAATCATGCCTTAGAAACTGATGCTGAAAATTGTAAAAACCAAAACACCCAAAACTAAAATGACAGTACCATGCTGCTGAAAAATTTGCAGGAGATCTGTTTTACCAGCTCAGATTCTAATTTTCTTTTCTATTGTTCCTTCTGCCTAGCTTTATTTTATGCATTTGTTTTGCAGTGCTGGAGATGGATCTCAGGGCCTCCAGCACAGGAGGCTCATACTCTGCTGGTACACCCTCAGTCCCCTCAGCGTTTCTGAAACATAAATCAAAAATGAAAATGGTTTCTATCTGGGATGCACCAGGGGTTTTCTGGCAGACATGTGTGCTGTGGAAAGGTCGCCGTAGTCCAGCTAGTAGCACATCCGTGACCTCCCAGTTACGGTACAGGTCTTAGGTGTCTTAACCCACAACTGCTCCCACTTCCCAGTGGCTCGCTGAAGAGACAGGGTCAGTTGTCCTGCATCCTAGATTTGCCTGATTATTTGTAAGTTTTATTATTTTTTATTTTATGGAAAAGAGGCGGAACAAAATCTCATAAGAAAATAATAGAATCAGAACAGTAGTATCAATAATAATAATCGCGTATTGTTATCTTTAAAGTAGTTGCTCAGGGTACAAGATAGCATAAAAACTTCTCCAATTGACATTAGCACAAATCTTCCTTTTTTAATGAACTAAGAGACCCCAGTAGTATATCTGACTGGCTTTTTTTTTCTTTGGCCCTTTTGCCTGCTGTCCTTTACCTTTTACCCATCCCAGTTCCTTTCCTTTTGAATAATTTCTTTCCATTTCATGATATCTACAGTACATTTTAGAACTTATTTATTCCTTCAGTTTCTCACTCCAGGAAGACAATACGATGTTTACACATGGCCGGTTTATCTCACTTGTGAGTAGGGTCTCAAGGTGTATCACTTTATTCTTCTTTATGGCTAGGTACTCCATTGTATAAAAACACCGTGTCCTTTTATCTATCCCTCCAAGTTGCCCACTTATTTTCATGATGGCGTACAACACCTGCCTACATCTCCTGTCCTCTTGTATAGGCTTTAGCTCTGGAACCCTGCTTCCTCCAAGACTGAAGGGTTTTCAGAAGCTAATAGATGGAAGCCGTTGATCTAACGAGGGGGAATCATGTGATTTCCCTGAACTATAAATCCTTGGAATCTTCTAACTTCCCTTTACTCAAGAGGAAATTGTAGGCCACTAAGGGGATGGACGCGGGCCAAGTCCATGCACAGTTGTCTGGCTTCCCTCCAGATGGTGTCCAACGTCCCAAAGATCACAACGTATGGGGCACAGATCCCGTGACTTTCACAGCAGGTGGGTCTGGGCTTTGGGTGCATGAGCTCTGCCCATAAATGCAGGTCATGTCCAAAGGAGGTTGGGTCCATCTTCGATTTTCTTTTTAACCTTCGCATTAGATTTTTAACCCCACTCTACCCGGCATTCTGAGAGCACTGACCTTTTAAGAGAGGCAGGTCCCAGAATACCTTACGCACAATGGCTAAATGGCAGGATAGAGAGGAAAAATAAATGTCACCAGAAATATATAAGCACACGTACTGCTGGTCTTGGGTCTGCCATAACATTTCTAAGTCTCTTAGACCACTTCCTGCTGCCTCTTTCTGTCACCTGAGGGTCAGAATCCTTGTCACACCTCTCACACAAGGTGCGGTTAGCATTGAATGACAGTGTGCACGATGCAAATCACACTGACAAAGCGCTCACACTGTCCTGGGTGCTGTGCATGGTTTAGTTTTGTTCCCACAACAACCCTGTAGGTTAGAAGTGTTACCAGCCCTATCACATGAGGAGCGGGCTCGGTGAGGCTAAGAAACCTGCCCACGGACAAGCAGCTAGTATGTGTTGGGAGTCAGGAATCAAAACCCAGCAACCTGACATGAGAAACCCTTCTGAGAATCAGCTTTTTTTTTTTTTTTTTTTTTTTAATATAAAAGACAGTGAGTCCTATTCTGCTGAGTTTACTTACCATCTACTTAGGTAAAGGGCAGCAGACACTGAGCAGTCAATCACACAGCTGCCTCCATAAGGACTCAAATCCATGCAAAGGAGCTCTGTCCTGAAGCAGAAATGGGAAAAACAATGATCCTCTCTGTTTCCACTGAAGAAATCCAAACAAATATCACAGATTCAGAAGACACAGCACCTCACCAATGAGAACAGTCCTTGTATATCACAAACAACAATTTGAAAATACTTTGCACATACCGTGAAATGCAATGCCATTACTGTTCTAGTAGGCGTATGTATATAATTCTTTTCACCCATGTTTCACCCTTCTGGGGGTTCACGGATGTCTTGCACATAGACTGCATTTAAAAATAAAGTTAAAGCACAAGAAAAAGCTTTGGGACTAAAATGCAGGCTGCATTCTCTTAAACTAAACAAAGAGAATAGCACATGGGGGCAAGGCTTTGAGTCTTGGGAGACCACTTCCTTCCACCTCTGGCTACCTGGGCAAAGTGCACGGTGAATGGTGCAGGTCTGCCCTCTAGGAGATCTGACTGGAAACATGTTTGATGACTGGGAATTGATGTGGTTTTTTTTTGTTTTTGTTTTTGTTTTTTTTTTGCATGAAACAATGTCAAAGCTCTCTTAGGAAACATTTACTTAGTGTGCTAGTGTGGAAAAGCTGACCTATTAGAACAAGGAAGTCTTTGTTCAGAAATATTCCGTGAGAGGAGCCTGGGTGTTATTATGAACCATGCAAAGTATCCTGGAGAAATGAAGATAAGCTAAGAGTAAACTCAGAATAAGCTAAAAATAAAATAGTTTGGGTGAAGAGGAGGCAGACTTGCCCTGGGGCTCCTTTAAGATGACGCTGGAACTGGACCCGTTCCTGTTTGGTGGTCAGCGTTCTCCTCAGTGAGCTCACAGGACCAATAAAGACACACTGGGGCAGGGCTGGGGTGATATTTTCTTTTTAATCTCATAGTGTATTTGTTAAGTTTATTTATAAGCAGATCACTTCACTATTTACAGTACATGAGCATAGAGATTCTACAGTTTTTGTGATGTAAACAATAACTCCACAGTGGGAGCTTGAGAAAGAAGCCAGTTTTGAAGTATTTACAGACGTTAAAATAGAACTTTATACTCACAGGATAATAATACATAGAGCAATTTGGTTAAATTATCTATGAAACTATAGATTCTGACAATGTACAAATACAAGAAAACATTTTCTCATTTAGAAGGTAAGACAGATAAATCACACCAGAAATAAAATAGGGACAATGACAACCACAATAATTAAAAGCAAAGAAGATTTCTTCCTTGCCTCTTACAGATAAAGTATTTATATAAATAAGGACACAACCCAACAAAATGGAAAAAATATATAAAAATCCTCTACCAATTAAAAAAAATAGCAAAACTAAAAACTCGATTCTCAATCATCAGCAGTGTCCTTTAAAAAATTAAAATTTAGCTTTCTATTATAAATAACAAAGCAGATGTGTCTCTCTGTGTAGGTGAAATTCTTGCACCTTTCTCAAGAAATGCATCAATGTAATTATACACACATACAGGCACAGACACACATATGCACATGCATACACACGTGCACATATGCACACATGCACACACGCACACATACACACACCACAAACACAACCTTACACTCATGCACCCCAGGCTGTAGTTACCTTTTTGAGCTTCCTAGTAAATAATGCCCCCTACAGTAGTACCGCTAGGGATGACAAAACCTGCAAGTTTAGCCATTCCCTGGTTTGACCCTGTCACACAGCCAGGGAAAGTCCTGGCTCCCTATTGCTCAGAATTCTCTAGGCTGCATGGTCACACCAAGAGAAAAGGATTTTGAGTCCAAGATTGGAAATGCTGGAAGGGACCATGGGATCACCTTGCCCAGTCATTAAGGCTAGCTACAGACATCATCTCTAAAGACCTGGGGCTGGGGGGAGGGAGCTTGTATTGGTTTCAACATCAGCAGCTGCCTCTGGGACCAGCAGATGCTCCAAGCCAATCTAAATGGCATGGGGAGATGAGAGGGTGGGTGTGAACTTCTGGAGCAGATTGCACTGAGCTGGACTTCTGGATGGTCATTTTCCCCCGAGACCATCAGGAAATCCAAGTGACCCACTGCCCTGTTCCACATACCACCCAGATCATGCCCCCCTTGAGATTTCCAACCTGCTTCAATCGGAATCAAAACATCCTTCAAGAAACAAAGTTGGGAATAGTTTATGACTTTTTATTCCTAACATGAAAACATTTGACAAAATTTTAAAACACAAACTACAAAAACAAAAACAAACAAGAAAAAAACAAAACAAAACAAAAACCTTGTTTGGCTATTTGGTGGACCACATCAAAGGCCATGGCCAGCAAGTCCCTGCGCCAATGCTCAGACCTGGCCTCTTCCCCTTCTCCTGAGGGTATAAGGCGGCCACCTCACAGAGGTTCACTTAACAAGGTCGGCAGCCAGGCTGCCAGTATTGCAGTTACAGTAAACCCCTCCCACACTGGACGCCTGGTCCACTGGTCTTTACCCGCAGGACAATTAGTGCATTTCACAGACAGTGCGAGAATTTTAGTGGCTGCTTCTGGGATCTTTTGACCCTAGTGTCTTACTGAGCTCCGAACACCCACACAGTTCACTCGTGCCATTATAATCCATTCCCAAAGTTAGTATTGGGCAGTGAGTGAGGTGGCAGGCAGAACGGATTTATTTGCCTTCCATCTAGGTAGCTGGTGGATACAGTCTTTGGCCACTAGGTGGCAACCGCATATTGATAAGGCAAAGTGCTGAGGTGGCAACTGACCCCTGCCCTTCCCAGGTCCCCTACGAGCAAGGCCAGCAAAGGGAAAATGGAGGCTTTTTAAGGCTTCCTTGGAGAATTCTTTGACAAATAATAATAATACAGCAAAATATGAACACCTTCTGAGGAACTGTTGCACAACCAGGAACTGACCACCTACAAAAGCCATAGTTTCCAAACCACCTGGCTTGGGCAGCTATATTTCTGTACCCCTTGTGGCTGTGCAAGGTGTTCTCATGAAGCAGAATTTCTGGAAACCTGTCCCCAGCAAACACAAAGCCTCACTTACTACTGCTATATACCATCAAAGTAACAAAAAACAAAAGCTGCCCTAAACATATGCAGTGTGATCGATGCCTCCTGTTGCCCCATATGCTTTACAATCATTGGAAAGAAATGTGTGAAAAGTGCCTAAGTGATGTTGCTTTGCAAAACAAGTGTATTGCTAGTATCGTCTGAGAGCAAGAGAGCAACAGCCAAGCGGGTCACAACATTTGCATTCAAAGCTGTCTGGTGGGGACAATGACAAGGCTAGTGTGAGATTGACATGGCCTCCGAGGCAAGCCTGGGGTTGGTTCTCACCATACCCACCAGGAACTATGGCTTAGATCGGTCCCAGGGAGCTGGTCTCCTTGTCTAAGGCCACTCAGCCAGGACTGTGAGGGACTGGACCTGCTGCTGGCTGGGACCCTTGCAGAGACCCATTCCCTGCACCAGAGCTGCGCACAGCTGAAGAAGGAACCGGCTTCGCAGGGGAGAGAAGGGCTCGTCTCACTGGGAGTGCTCGTGCCATTTAAGAGTCTCATTTGTTAGATTAGGAAAAGGAGGCCTAAGGTCACACAGCAAGTAAGAACCCTTCAGGCTTCTCACTCTTAGATGGTTTATAGTTAAATGGGTTGTTCCACACCTATTTCAGTTGGCAGGACTGCTCTCCAGCTTTTGACAAAAGTAGGCACCAAGATCTATCATTCCCTGTGTCCAGGGCTTCACTGGCAAAGAAGCCAGAGAAGGGCTGGCCTTGGAGCTGGCTCTCCTGTGGCTGCTGCGGCTTGGAAGGTCTTTCTGCCCTCTTCTCCCTCACACCAGACCCCTTCCTGCCACCCTGCTCCAGCCTCTGGGACAGCATCTCACACAGCCAGAGGAGACCCAGGTTTGCCAGTGGGGAGGCACGGAGCCAGGATGGAGCACTGGCACTTACTCAGTGCTTCTACTGTTTAATGCAAAGTCAGCCTCTGCCTGCTTCCTGGGACCTTGCAGCTGGCGCCAGAGGCTTCTCTCGTCCCACAGCTGTACCAGGCAATGGCACTGCAGTGCATGTGGCTTCCACTGCCCAGGCTCTCTGCCATTTAGCCTGTACCTCCCAACTCTGCACGCAGAGTGCAAACACTCCAGGGACTTTGGGACCAACTATCACATAGTGCACATAGGTTCCAGTGGATTTCCTTCTTCTCCACTGGGAAGGGATGAGAGGGTCCCTCTTCTTTGGCCAGTGAAACCATTATGTTCACTTTGCTAATATGCATCCATTTTTTAACCTTAGTCATATCTGACAGTGGGATATGGTGTTCCTCTGAATACCACAGTGCTAAATCTCAAATGCTAAAAAATAAAAATAATAATAAAAATAAATAAAGACTGTAATTTTAACATCAGTGAGTCACATCAACATCTCTAGGGTTGATGTTGCTTCACAGTTGAGATGACCCCATCTCAGGCTGCAGGCTCAGCTGCCTTCAGGTACACTCAAGGCCTCGCCCACGGACCAGCCTTCTGCACACAGAAGAGCAGGGCTGCCAATGCCTTCCTCATCCCTCTGCTCACCACCGACACAGGGGCTGGGCAGGCTCATTGCACACATCCAGGAAAAATCACTTTCAAAAAATCGGTAAGTAAGGTTTTGGACATCAAAGACACCTGACTCTGTCTTTTCCCATGTCAGGACTTGCTGCTCACAGCAGGCCCCTTCTCCTCTGTCTGCCCCTGGAATCCTGTGCTTTCCTAAGTGCTCCACACGATGCGCTGAGACCCTTCCCCATACTTCCCTACTCAAAGCAGTTTCCTGGTGGGGATGGGGAAGGCATCGGGGCAAGGGAGTCGGGAATCGTAGCTGCACTCCATCCACTCAGATTCTTTACCTATTTGATGCATTTTCCTTCAGTAACCAGAGCCCCCAAGAGTGAGGATTCTGACTCAGCCTGTACCGACTGAGGAAGGAGATGGAAGAATTCCACTTAGCGGTTAGATCGGACATTTCAGGAAAACACCAGCACGGCACAGAGATGGACAGCACAGCCTGCCCTGCACAGGTGGCTGTCAACACGGTCTACAGAAGCGGTATGGCAATCACATGTAAACATCATTGATAGCAAATACTAGACAGAACTATGATGAGATGGTTGCCAATGGCAGCTGCTCCCTCTGGGTTACTCCTTAGTTTGGTGGGAAAGGGACCAACGTGGACTCATCCTGGAGAGACCCTGGAGTCTCCTTGGTAGATAATACACAGCACCGAATGAGTCTTTCGGATAGAAGTTGTCTGCAGGGTTGGTCAGCTTTAGAACTGGTAGCCTTTTTCATATGGGATGACAAGCAGAGACTGCTGGATGCCCCTGGCAGGAAATCTTCCCTCATCTGTGCCTCAGCCCTGCCCTTGGCACTCAGGCCCTGATGGCACACCCAGATGCCTGTCGTGCTCAAGGGAAAGTGTCTGAGTGATGCCCAGTGCTCACGACTGAACCGTGCAAGAAGGCCGCTTCCAGTGACCCTGAAGGTGGGGAGGGAGTCCCTTCCCCTAGAAGTCTACCTTCCTTTATCCTAAGGAACCATTAGCCCAAGGCAGAACCCTTGGCCTAGCGTGACCGAGGAAGAAGCAAATCGAAGACATCATCTGACAACTTCCGGCACTCAGGCGCAGGAGCCAAGGGCCTGAGCAAAGCTCTGCAGGAAGCTCTCGGTGAAGTCAGGACTCACCCAGCTCTCCACATTCTGAATCCAGGGTCTTTCCCACCTATGGGGTAAAATGTTTCCTTCTCAATGCAAATCAGGTTCCAGTGGAGGAATCAGAAGGATTTTACTTTTATTTCCTTCATTTGTGATGTGCCTACCATGTGCTAGGCAGTGAACAGCTTATAAAGAAATCTAGAGTGATTGGGTCTGTGCTATGCAAAGTCCCTTTTTTGGTCCATCCTTATAAGCCCTGCTTTTTTCCGAAATACTGCCTCTCGCCTCCATCCCACTCTCCTCAAGCAAAGATGTATGTCACAGTGGTACTGGCAGTCTTGTGCCAAGGAATGGTTTTAGGGACACTTCTTTCATTGATCAGGACATGACAGACAGGGATGAGCTAGCATGAAATCCAGCCAGCACACAGTTCTGTATGATTGATGGAGAGCTTCCAAAGATCAGACGAGATGTCAAATAAACTCTAATCAATTAGTCATGACCGCCTAGAGCACTGTGTTGAGGATTTAGGCTCAAGGAATAACCTTGCTGTGGCTGGTTAGTTAGGTCTGCACTGTACAATGAGCAGACGTAGTGGCACATGCCTGGCATGTTCGCTGTCCTTAACAGAAGCTAGGACAGTCGAAACCTGCCCAATTCTCCCTCTCGCTCCATCTCACAGAAAACTGACTTGATACTCAGCAGCTCAAGCTCCTGTTTCTGCTACAGCCTGTCTTCTGCAGCCTTTTCCACTGGCAGGGAGGGCTCTCATCCACCAGGACAATATTGTGGGCACGGATAAGCCACTGTCATAGGACCGGGCCTTCCAGCAGCAACAGGGAACTTAGCTTGTTCAGTGAGTCACTTTCGAACTTTTTAAAGTGGTAGGGACTTTCCCCCGCCTAAATACAGAAATGTCTGAAGGAACTCTGACGTTTGAAAAATATCACGATAAGCCACTCTGTGTGAAGCAGGAGCACTATGGTCACACCTGCCTGGCTACACTCTTGCTCAGTCGGGGCAAGGACATCACAAGGTTGGAAGTGAAGCCCAATCCAAACACTGTGTAAGTTTGAAGGGAGCTCGGATATTGCTTTATTTGTCCCCCGCCCCACCTCCTGCTCCTGATCCCCCTGCCCTGGCCATCAAAACGACATCACAGATGATACGGGACAGCTGGGCCCCCAGAGGATGACTGCTCTTAAACCCACAGCCCACGTGTACCACTGCAGTCACATCTCAAAGCTCTGACAGGGTGTCGACTCAGGTCAGCGCTGATGGCACACCCAGGCACACGGTGGGGCTGGGACCTGCCTCACACTGATGAGTCAACTGTTGGCTTAGCCCCCAGCTGAGTCCCCTGGCTTCTAGTCTGGTGCCCAATATAGCCTACTCACCTCTACCAGTCCCCAAGCATGGCATTGTCACCCCAGCTATGGTAAGAGTTGGGGACCAGAATCAAAGGCCTGGGCTGGGTCACTGCTCTGCCTTCTCACTGGCCATGGGATTTGGGTAAGTCATTTTACCCAGCAGGGTACCCCTGCTTCCCACGGAAAATGGAAATAACATAGCTTGGCCTGGCTTCAAAACAGAATCTGATAATAAACAGGCATGTTCTTCAGAGTGAGCTGGGCACAAGATGGGGGTTTACACTGAAATTTGACCCAAACTTGCTCCAAATAAATCATGGCAGGACTTGGCAGAAGAGGCCCAGAAGCATCTCTCCACTGCCCCCAGGCATTGTGGCTGTGGGGTCCACTTTCCTGGGGACCAATCTCCCAGCCCCCAGCACCTCCAGGGCAATCTGTCAGGGGAGCAGCGCAGCTGAATGGCAAATACCTCATGACTGTGCATAGTTCAAAATCAAGGAAGCGATACGATAATCCCAGGCACAGCACATCTGAGCCATAGATACATTATTTTAAGGATATACTTTTTTTTCTTCAATTAAAAATGAGTTTATAATCCTGATTCTATTCACAAGTGACAATTTCATCATCACACGCTACAGACAGGGGATGTTACGGGGACAGGCTGCAAGTCTACAAGAGGACGTCAGTCGGGCAGGAGGGCAGAGGGTGAGTGACTCAGCACTTTGAGGCGCACCCAGGACAACCCTTTGGAAGCGAGGACACTAAGGTGGCAGTGGAACGTCAACATCATGGAAACTCACGGACAGAAGCAGCTTTGTGCAATGTAAACATCGATTTGTTCTTTTAAAAGGACAGTAGTCTCAAGTCTCTCTCACGCACGCTTGCTCGCTCTCTCTCCCATATACTTCTTTCTTTGAAAACGTAAACATATTGGAAGGGCCTTGTCTGAGGTATTGAGGTATTCCTCGGAGGTTAAGGCTGTGATCAGTGTAGGCTCTGGAGGGCCTCTTTCAGCAGGCTGTCAAAATCCATGGCTTCATACTTGCTTTTGCTGGACGCAGGAAGGGCTTCCTCCGGACTGCCATCTGGAGGATCAGCGGAAGGAGGAGGAGTGAACATCTTATAAAGGCCAGATGACAAGCAAATCTGCAACCAAGGTGGGCCCCATGGAGCGCATGTGGCCCAGGAGTCAGAGAGCTACCGACTGCCATGCTCCTGTGACATCTGTACCATGCTGTCAATGTGCTAGGGACTCAGTTTTACAGAGCAAAGGGGGCCCGGACAAAAATATTCTAGGGCTCATTTCCAGCTCTAACATCCTAGCATTCTGCTCTCCCGAAAAATGGCCCACCCATGAATAACCTGTTGCTCAGTCCCATAAAGGAAAGCGAACGAAACTGGGATCACTTTCATGTACACATAGGAAAGCTGGGTCCCGTGAGCAGGCACATACCAGGTAAAGTGCTCTTGGCCAGGACTCCACCTTGTCCCTGATACTTGGCCCTGTACTGCGAAGGTTCCCTTGCGCTCTCCAGTATGCTATACTTGTTTGTCCTTCTTTACCAACTTTTCCCCACATGGTAGTGGCATGATGACAGTGTTGCTACACTGTATCCATTAAAGCACAAAGCCGCTGCCTCATCACAGTCGCCATGGAATACCCCTTCTTTGGCCAGGGTAGAAACTGGCCAAGGAGGGCATGGTTTCCAGAGGTCATGGAGGCTTGACTTTGTTTTGGTGCCAGTTACAGGACAGGACAAGATGGACCAGAGGCCAGAACAAAAACAGGATGGAAGCCTGCAGGCAGACGAGTAACAGCGTTATACCCGTCAGCCGGCACACTGGGACCTGGGCAGGGAGCCATACCCAGGAGGGAGTTTATGTCATCAGAGGATGCTGCTGCCCCTCAGGCCCCGGCTGGGCCTCGCTCAGGAGCTTACCGTAGTCAGTGTGTCGGGGCCAGCGGAAATGCCGGGGCCCGCCCGAGCTCAGCTGGAAGGAGGGCTCGCTGCGCTTCCTCAGGGCAGCGCCATTCTGCAGGGACAGGGCTGCATGCTCAGAACACCGGTAGGTGATGAAGCCATGCTTCTCGCCTCTGCGGGGGACAACCGGGTAGCATGTTTGTGGGCCAGCCTGGTGCACACTGTCAGACCACCCATTACTAGAAAAGGAGCGGAAAGCCACAGTGACTCGGTACCCATGTTACATGGCCCTGCAGTTAGAGCAGGCACCATTGGCTAGGCCCATACCCACACTGGGTGAGTCAGAGAAGCTCATTGGTGGGCTGTTTGCCAGGTACTGGATACACTGTCTCACACAGCAAACAGTGATAGCTGACCTGGTGACATGGGCACTGCTCTCTCTATCTTACCCTAAAGAAACCCTAAAAATTCCTGTAGAATTCAGGAATCTGTCCAAAGGCAAGTGGCAGAGCAGGGATTTGAACATGGGTCTCCTGCATGTTAAAGTGAAAGCTCTTCGCTCTGCCTTCTGTGTCCCTATTATGTCCATTTCCTTGCTTTTGCCAGGGTTATTCCCCTGCTCTTCCAAGCCAGGGCTACCACTTCTTTGGCGGCTAACAAGGCCTTCTGCTCCCCTCCTGTGGCTGGTGTTGTGTACACATCTCGCCTGCATGGAAGACACCTAGGCTGTCTGCCCCCTCAGCATCCAATAAGCACTGTGTAACCCACCAGGCTCAGGAAGTCAGGGAAAGCTTGTCAACCCCAAAGATAAACCCCAATGGCCCGCCCCAGATCTTTCTGGAATGTGAGGAGCTGGGCAGCTGCTTCCAGTAGGAAAGAGGTGAGTTTAGAGCAGGGGCATCCACTGTGCGACCAGGAGGAAAGCCAGATGCCCAGGAGGTACCAGGCAAGGGGGATCCGGAGTCAGTTCTACCTTGACATTTCAGTTCCACAAAGAAGATGGAGTCGGAGTGGTGACCCATCTGCTTTGGAAGCGTTTTAAGGGCAGAGACAAAGTGGTCATTCCCTACTGCTCAGAACAGGCTTAATGACATAGCTACCTAGCACACATTCAGGTGAATCAAGTTTCCTGATACCTCTCTGAGCCAGGGAAAAAGAGGAGAACTTCTGCCCCTTTAAATGTCTGAAGACGGTAATATGTCCAAGACCCTTTCTAAAAGACCACGAATGCTTTTTAAATCGTAACACATTGTTCTTCCTCTTTGGAGATTCATTTGCTTTCTCTGTTTTTCCATGTTACCTTCATCTAATAACCTGAAAACTGTACAAAACTTTAAAAAGCTCTATTTCTATAGTAACTCTCTTAAAATGTTTTTTTGGACAAAACCAAAAATTTACCAACTGGGCACAGTGGGCTTACATACGTATAACCCGTGTATTCCAGGAGGCTGAGGCAGGAGGAGTGCAAATCTCAGCCCTGTCCAGGAAACTTAGTGATTCAGCAAGGCTTTGTCTCAAGGTAAAAATAAAATAAAAAGTAAAAAGGGTTGGAGATCTAGCTCTGCGTGAAGGTTTCCAGTTCGATTCCCAGTACCATGAAAGAAGGAAGGAAGCAAGCTAGGAAGGAAGGAAAGAAAACAGGAAAGCGAGAAGAGAGGAAAGAAAGAAAAAAGAAAAGAGTACGGAGGGAAGGAGCAAAGAAGGAAGGAAAGGAAAAAAGAAAGAAACTTAACCGTTTTTACTCTATCTCCATGAAACAAGTAACACTCCACCTCCTGTCAGCATGAACCTGGTGCCTGCAGGTCCATCCCAAGTGGAATCACAGGGTGTTTATCTTCAGTGCTGTCTACATGTCCACTCATGTGGTGGCCTGCGCTAGAATCCTCCTTCTCAGGGCTGCATGATGCTCCACTAGGTGGACAGTCCTCACCTTATTGACCCACACATCAGCAGACACTTGGGTTGTCCGTGTCTCTTGGCGACCGAGGATAATGTCGCCATGCACATGGGTGAACCAGGATCTCTGTGTGACCCTGTTTTTGGTTCTCTTCCACCCATAGGTAGAATGGCTGGATCACATGATGCTCTGTGTTAAAGTTTTTAACAAACTCTCTTATTGTTTTCCAAATGAGCTACATCACCTCACTTTTCCGCCTACACTACAGAAGAGTTTCAGTTTCCCCACATCCTCACCAGCCCTCATTCTCTGGTTTTTAAGAGTAGCCTTTCTAAGGGGTATGAAGTGTTAGAATGATTGATACACAACAAGTCATTTTCTTGCTGGTTTTTTTTTTTTTTTGACTGTTATTGAACCACCATTTGAAAGCCCTAATAACTTAGCTTGCAAGTGTAAAGGGAGATAATTAGAAATCTTTCAACGCTGACAAAGTAACAACAACAAAACAGGCTGGTGAAGTTTTGCTATCTCACTTGTGCATTCATAGGCAACCTGAGCTTTATGCAGATTCCCTAACAGATAAAACATTGCTGCCCGGGTGGGGAGGAAAACACAGGGCCGCCCAACAGAGCTGGGGCCGGAAGCACCATGGCAGAGAATGGACAGATCTCGAGCAGCCTGAGATGCGGCAAAGGTCTTAGAGAGGACGCACAGACTCTAGTCTGGCTCTGCCATGCAGGAACTAAAGTTTGTCGAAGCTCACTCAGAAAGAAAAGCAATACCAAGTTTACAAATGCCTGTGCCCAGCAGTGTTGGAAATTTAGGGAAGAGAACGCATGACCTGCTACCTCGATCAACTGTCAAGAGTCTTCTTCCCGGGCCTGGTTTTTGGATCTAGACCAATGGTGGTGAACCTATGGCACCCTTGCCACAGCAGGCTGTTTGTGATCACTGAAAGTTCTAGAAGGTTTGCCATCACTGGTCTAGGCTGTTCCACAGATGTCCTCGGGCCTCTTCTAGGCAGCCAGCCCTAGGGGGGACCTGTGCTGCCCTCGCTGCCCCGCAATGGCCTGCCTTGACTCACCTCTTACTTCTTGTCAGCACCTGGCACTCTACGATCTCTCCAAACACCTCGAAGCGCTTCTTTAGCTCTCTGGAGCTCATGTCGCTGGAGAGATTTCGAACATACACGACGCGGCCTTCACCCTGCTCAAAAAGGGGACAGAGAGGGAGCTGGTCACTGCTTCCATGGGGTCCTCATCCCTGTCCAATGCCTGGCTGAGCAGCAGCTGCAGCTTGAGTCAGAGAGAAGACAGTGACGATCTCTACACCGGAGGACCTGCCCTACTGCAGCAGGGCCACGAGAGCAGGTGGGGACGTGGCCCTCACAGGAAATGCCTGCTTACATGAGGGGAATGAGCAGAGATGGGCCGCCAGGGCAGGGCGCCAGCTACCACTAATACCGCTGTATGGTCAGTGGTGTCCGTGCTTGTACCTTGAGTCAGAGGAGGCGGGGATGGGGTGGACCTGCAAGTCTCCTAGGATGTGTTGGGAGCCAGGTTATTTGTGGGGGTTAGAGTAGGCAAGAAGGAATGGTAATAAGATGGGGCCACTGAGGCCACTGGAGTCACTGTATCTTTGTTTTTCCTGAGTGGGTGGCTGATGTCATAGCACAGTACTGTGACCAAGAAGTCACCTGCAGGAGAGCTCCATGGTCTGCCAGCAAGTGCCAAGGACGACATAACAGAGGCAGTGAGAGGTGGCCCTAGGGATAACCCCCCTCCTCTCCTCAGGGATCTGTGATCCAATCTGGGTGAAGGCACTGCTGGATCCTTGCGTTCGCATGGACAAGACTGACTGTGGTCTGGATACGCCTCCTCTGGGCACGGGCACAGCCAGAAACTGTCCTGCCACACACCCCAGAACCATGGTGCCAGGGAGAATACCTGGGCTCCTTAGGAGGACAGCACCAACGGTCACTGGCATCAAGTGCCCCACACCACACTACCTCCTGGTTCAGCTTCATCAAGAAAGCAAGTCATGTCCTAGCCTCCTGAATTCATAAAGCCTGCCCACAAAACATCCTGAATTTTACAAGTACTGAAGCTCCTTTTCATCCCTCCAGGCCCAGTTCCCCAGAGATGAACCACAGGAGGAGGGACTTTGTCTGTTTCGTAGATCACTGTCACCCGAAACCTAGGATTGTATCTCTTCTTTGTGGGGCACCAAAAAGATGCTCTATGCTCAGACTGTGGCTTTAAGAAACTGCTTGCAGCTGAGTACAGCGGTGCATCACCCTGGAAGGCTGAGGAAGGATTGTGAGTTCAAGCCCAGCCTGTGCAAGTTAGTGACTGAGACCCAGTCTCAAAACAAAGAGGCAGGGAGATAGCTCAGTGTGAAGGCCTTGGGTTTGAGCTCCAGAAGAATCTGTGTGCAGGATGCTACACTCCTTTGAGGAAGGCATCACTCATGCACGGCCTACTCCCGAAGTTTGTGTTCCCGTGGGCAAGACTGACTGTGGTCTGGACAGGCTGTGGTCCTCCAGAGGAGACTGTTATCCTTTTCCATCCTGCTTCTTTCCGTTCTTTCTAGTGACACGGAATAGCTGGCTGGCTCCCGCTGCCCTCTGCAGGATCCTAAGAGATTTTCTTGTTGGGCAGCTTTGCAGGGAACCCCACAAGGCCAGGGCCTTGGATATGCTCTGGGAGAGGACTGGGGAGGTGGGTGCGGAGGATGTAACAGGGTCTCCTGATCTTTTAGCTCTGGTCAAGTTAGAGAAAGCTTTAGGAAGCACAAGGCCCAATTCCCTGTGTGCAGATGAGTGAGGAGACTCAGGGAAGCTTGGGGACTTGCCCAAAGTCACATAGAAGGTGTGGCAGGCCGGGCCTGTGATCTTGTCAGCCTGTCTATGCATTCCCTCCTCCCTACCGTTGGTCCTCTCTGGGCCATCAAGGCTGAGCTCTAGGTTGTCACCAATTGCATTCCTCAGGAGCAGTCAAGTCAGTCCATTGGTTGAAATTTGCCTATTGCCAGCTTTCATGGCTTTGGGTGACCCCTATGACTTCCAAATGAGGGAAATACAACTGTGTTCTGCGGACCAGGCAGTGGTTGACAGGTTCAGTACGTCTTGACAGTCCTGTGTGTCCCCATTCTCTCTGGGCTCTGGGGCCCCAGATCACTTACAATGGCCTTCTCCTGCCGCTTCCTGGCGCATCGGACACTTGGGGTTCCATCCGCACACGGCCCTCTGCTCTCACACCTGTCATGAACAAGCAGAGCGGAGGCACGCACTGTCAGGAGGAGCACAGAGGGTGGCAACTGCGGCCTCTTGTGGGCAGAAGTGCTCAGTTCTCACCTGCAGCAGCCCAGCTTCCCTCACAAGGGCAGCCCAGGGCTGTGCTCGCTCTGAACTTCAGACGCCTTCTGCCACTTTGCTAATTATAACGCTGCCCTTTAAAGCCTTGCCTTTCACTATCATTAGGAAGAAAAACCCTTTTACTTCATTATCTTAGTTGACCTGATGAGAAAACCCGGGAAAGGCTCGTGTCCCCATTTTCCAGATAAGATACTCAAGGTATGGGTTCAGGTGGACTTGCCTACAGCGGGGAGGTCAGAACTCAAAGCAAGTCTTCCGGCTCTAGAACCACTGTTCTCTACCAGTTCGTGCCTTGGCCATCTGCAGGCTGCACCCTCACAGCTCCCTGCCTGGGGCTGCGAAGCTCATCATCTGCAGAAACAGAGCAGGCTCCCCTGCCACAGGCCCAGGCTTTCTTTGCTGGGCTGCAGGCTGCCTGGCACTTCCAGTGAGCATCGTTGAGAGGGTTGGCCAGCTGGGCATGAGCTCGAGTCAAACAGCTCCTTCTGTTCAAATCCTGCGTGTACCACCTCCCCACTGGCTGACCCTGGCCAGTTACATAAGCCCTTTCAGCTCCACTTTTTCATCTGTAAGACAAGGATAATTATGTCCACCTCTGTGGCCACTTTCAAGGATTAAATCAGAAAATGCTTATAAATACTTGTCCCAGGAACCGTTCAATAGATGCTTTTTTTGCTTTTCTGATTCAACCTCTCTAAGCCTCAGCCTCCTTATCTATAAGACAGGGATGAGAAGTAGCCTCCAGGTGCATCTAGAAAGCTCAAATACGGTGACAGAAGAGGATGTGACTTGCAAAGTTTGAAGGGCTATAGAATAACAGGATCATTAATTTGCAAGCAAATTGGTCAGCTTTGCCTACCTGAAGAACTCGAGAGACCACAATGCACTGCGGAGTTCAGTTTGTCCATAAACGGGACATGCTTCCTGCTAACCAAAGCGGAGGCATAGTGAAGGGAGTGGTCTGCAGAAGGCTGAGGACGACTTTCCCAGGCTTGGCAAGCACTGAGCCTGAGACAGCCAGCAAGCAGAAAGTGCCAGACCTGCTCTTGACCCAAAAGTAGCAGAAAAAAGGAGACCCAATGGGGTTCTACAGTGGGGTAGGAAGCCCTGGTCAAAATCCACAGCAGGCAGGAAGAAAGAGTTCCCTGGCCACTGGGGACGACTTTCCAAACACAGTTTTGCAGGGCACAAACTTGGAGACTAGGAGTGTGCTCGCCCCAAGCAGGCTGAGACTGAACCTGGGCCACAGCAGGCTGTCAGGGAGGAGCTGCCCCCAGGAAAGGAGAAGAAAACCAGAAACAGAGGCGGAGAATTGGCTGCCAGAAGACTCGACCTTCATGGCTTCTGGCAAAACAGCTGTTGAAGAAATTGCTGGGGAATTCAGTTGCTGGAGTAACAACTTAGGGCTTCTCCACGCTGGTTTATGGAAAGCCCAGGAACCTCCTAAAGTTGATGTTTAATAGAGAGATGGGGCCTTGCTCTCACGGGACCTTCAAAAAGTTAAGAGCCATTGGTGCAGATGTGTCCGTAATGTTTCTTTAAAAATGTTTCTTTTAAAAGGTTCTCATTATGCCCTGATTTTTGGTCTCAGGGTATGGTACTTTGGCAACATCACTGGTGAGCTTGTTAGAAACAGAATTTCTCCACCCTCACCCCGGCAGAACCAGGTAAGTACTCAGGGGAGGAGGGTTCCAATATCTCCTTAAAAGGCACCCGCCATGGTGCCTTCTGCTTTTCTGCTCTGGACTCAAGTGCACCTTCTAGTGGCCACTCAGGCACATGGCAGATACTCCTCTCCCAACCTCAGGACAAATCTTGTCCCCATATCAGAGTAAACAGAGCAGGCTCCCTGAAACTGTCAGGGTTCTATGCCTTCTGCTAGCACCCCAGCTCACTTTGGGCGGGTTCAATGAGCAAAGACAGTACGCTCAAACAGGCTCAGGACACACGATCCTTGCCCTGAGCTCTTTTTACTGCAAGAAGGCACAGAATAGCACAGAGCAGGAAACCAAGAAATGAAACTGCCTTCCTCTTTGTTTTAATTCATTTTTTAGGAAATGACAAAATGAAACAAAACAATTATGCTAATCCTTTTATCACTTGATAATGTCAAATAAGTTTTAAACTATGAGGGTCTGTATTATGTTTGCACAAAAACTATTCATTTGACAAATGCAAACACAGATAACGAAGAATGAGGAGCAAGTTTGTGGAAATATAAGGCCACACAGGGCCAGAAGGTGGCTCTTGTTTCTCTCCGGAGGCCAGGGGAATTTGAGATCCTCTTGACTGTCACACACTTGCCTCAGGGCTCAATCCCAACACCCTCAAGAAGCCCCCTCCCAGGCCTCTATCCACACAGAGACACAGCCCCGGTTCCAGAGCGAGCTTCCCCAGCTCCTCTCTCTCCTGGCACGAGGGGGACAGAGTCCTCAGCAGCTGGCTGCCCATACTGAGGCTGAACCACACATCCTACCTGAAGCTCCTTCGGGTAGCTGGTGACCAGGAGCAGCAGGATGAGGAACTGGAGCTTGATTGGCTGCGGGAACAGAGCTGCCGACTGGCCTTGCTGGGTGGGCTCTGGTAGGGGCAGTGGTCAGAGCAAGGAGGGCTGACCCCTGAGTCCTCTCCATCATTGTCCTCCTCCCCTCTCTCTTCCTCTTCCTCCAGGAGGAAGCTGCTCTCCCCGCTGCTGCTGCTACTGTCCTCAAAGACATCGTATTCAGGGCTTTTGCATGAGGCCAGGTCTTCATCCTCCAGGGCAGTTTCCAGCAGCCCAAAGTGCTTGGTGAGGCTGGCGCGGATCTCGTGGTCTCTCAATTGCACACTGTCCTTGGGTGGCACACAGGCATCACAGCTTTGGCCTTCCTCCTTCCGGCAGGCCTGGGTCTCAGCCCGTGAAGGGGCGCCTTGCTGGAGCCAGTCCTCAAAGTGGACACCAGATGGGTCCCAAGACCTCAGCACCTTCCTCTGCAGGGCACCCTCTGGTCTGAGCACCTGGCAGTAGTCATGGTCTCCAAAGGAACAGGAGAAGGGGCGCTTCTGGCCAGCCTGGGAGGCTGGCTGAGTTGTGATGTGCCGAAGATGGGACAGGAGCTCACTCCGGTCGGAGTGCTTGTTCGGCAGCTTACGAGCAGCTCCTGGGGCTGCCTTCAGCTGGAGGGCCTCAGGGGAGGGGAGGCTGGGAGCTGTCTCTTGGCCTGGGCTGTGCTTGATGTCTGGCTTGAAGGGCTCCTCCTCCATAGGCTTGTAGGGAGGCGTGGTGGGGGGCGTGAGTCCTGCACAGGCAAGAGAAGAAACATGTGAGGGGAAGCCAGATTACTTCCCTAAGACACACTAAGACCTTAATTTGGGATGGTAAAGGAGTGGTTGCATGCTATCACTTTCCTGACTGATGCATAGCAGGCATCACTAATGGATCACTGCACTGCTCGCTGCCTGAGCCTGGATGTGGCCTGCAAGTCCTTTGATTCTTGGCACTGGCATGTGATGAGATGCATTTGCCGTCCCTTCTGTGGCTTGGTAATGGCAGCGGAAGCCTCCAAGTTACTAGAGATGGCTCTTCCTATTCCATTCGCAAGTGTTCAGTGAGCCTTGACTCAGGCACCTCCCAGTGTATAGCAGAGCACAGGTAAACTGCCCACTGGATTTGGCCACCATGACCCTTGATTTTCCTACACTTGATCTTGGCATTCTTCTACATGTGCCACAGGAACTTGCTACAGTGCCTATTTCTTTCTCTCTGGTGTTTAACCTCTGCATTTGGCCTTTTTAGGACTGCTCATTCCTGACCCAACCCCTGACCCCAGCATCACAGGACTAGGTGACCAGCATTCCCAATGCAGACTGGATTTCCATTCCTCCAATGTCTTCACCTGTGCTGACTCTGCTGCAAAACACACCTCCCTTCAGCCTTCCAATGTCCATTCAGCCTTCAGGACCGGCTCAGATGCCCCAGCTGTGGTGCCAGGCAGGCTGCTCAGGGCACACTCCTGCCCAGTCCCAACCCTCTTGTTCATGCAGAGCTCCTGTTCATTCACGAAGTTAGTGTGCATCAGACTGTGCTCTCAGGGTGTGCATCTGTCTTCCCTCAGAGCTTCTCCAGAGAACTGTCTTTCATTTCTGACCTCGGTATCACCTCACGTGCCAATTATTAGCAGTTGAATGGCTGGCACCCCTCAACCTGACCCCAGCCCTGAGCCTCCTTAGAACACCCTCACTGTGCATCTCAGAGCCCAGCACAGCCTGGGCGGGGGGAGTGGCATGGAGGGCTCACTGGGTACCCACACTGCCTATGGAGCTGTTCGGTGTGGGGGACTTGTGGCCGGGGTCTTTACCAGTTCCCCCAAAGGCACCCCATCAGCTGAACACCCCTGGCTTACCTGCCGTGCCACAGAGCTCCACGGTCAGGGTCTGTTCAAAGCTCTTCTTGCCAAAAGCAGGGTCGCTAGGGAAAGGGGCAGGGGAGACAGAAAGGAAAGAGGCTGGTGAGCAATACATGCCCACCGCCCCAAGCATTCGAGGAGGGTGAGGGCATGTAGCCGCGGATCCTGGTTCTGCTGCCACAGTCTGGGGAGAATTTGCAGGACCCTCACCCTGGCTATTGGAGAAATTCTAAGCACACAGTATCTAGGATACATGGACAGGTCTGTTAGAGGGTGTGCAGACGACACCGCATGCATCACTGTCAGCTTTCCTCCACGGAGAACTCATTTCAGGATCCCAGAGAACAGCTCATGAAATGCCTGTGGGCTTGATTCCCCACCTCCCCTTGGGCCTGCAGAGATCCATGTCTAAAAGCCAGCTCTCTTTAAAGGCAGCTGAGCTCTTGATGACCCCAGATGACAACCAGAACAGGGACCTAGGAACAGGGCTGTGTTCAGGGGCAGATAGATCCCTCTACTCCCAGTTCACAAATCCAACAAGACAAAATGTTATGGAATAATAAATCTACCTTTGCGACAAGGCCAGCATGAGGCACGTTGAAGAGTCTGAAAAGAAGACCAAAAAAAAAAAAAGGAAAATAAGATTTTTCAATATGGCATCATAAGCAGATGTTTCCCCCAAACAAAGCCTCAAACTCTCAGGGCCGCTGACCCGGTTTCCTCAACCGCCAGTAGACAAGGACAGGAACAAGTCTGGTCCACCTCCCCTCCAGGGTCTTGGAGGGCCGATCTCCATGATTGTGCAGAAACAGCAAATGTGCACAGGTGTCCCCTGGCCGGGTGATGGTACCTTAGTGAACAGCTCTCACTCCACAGTACTGCGGCTGTGGGTTCTGGAGAGTACAACATAGGGCTGAACCCTAAAGAGCTCTGAGCCTCAGGTTTTGTATCTGAAAACAGAGATGGCCACTGGCTCCACCACATGGGTGTCTTGTGCCGAGTGACAGGGAGAGGGCGTTTAAGCCTCAGACTAACAAGTACACCACGAGTAAGGATCATCATTGCAACCATCATTAGCATTTTAAATCCGATCCTGAGGGGAAGCTGCACTTATAAGCTAACATCTCTGTCACACTGTCCTTCATAGGTCTTCTTTAGGACACTTACCAAATTTATAATCAGCTTCCTTTTGATCCTGACTGCCTTTCTCTCTCACTGAAACATAAGCCCCATGAGGGCAGGCAGGCAGGCAGGCAGGCATCTCGCTCCTTTTGCATTTAATCAATGCCTCGCCCATGGGTACATCGGGGATCTACGGGTGCTTTCCTGAGGAATTCCCCCATCAACTCACTGCCCAGAAAGGGGAGTGGAAAGCCAGGCGGGAACAGACCTGCCCTCTCTGCACAACACCTGGGGTTGCGGCCTGGAGCACTCCTGGCTGCTAGAACGGTAGGACTGGCTGCACCCACCCTTGCCCCCTCTTGCAGGCTGCTGGCTCCAACTACCTCTGGGAGGCAGCTGTGGGCAGCTGGGGTCCTCATCCGTGTCCCCACACCCACTCTCGCAGGGGCTCTCCAAGGCGGGGATCTGGGGTCCCCGAAGGAGCTGCTGGTCTTGGGCATTGGCCTCATCCGTGGGGCTGCCCAGCTGTCCCTCCATGTTGCAGGCCTCAGCAGCCAGGCGCAGTGAGGGCAGAGCACCTTGGGGCTCTGAGGGGACCAGCAACTCATCAGTGAATGTCAGCCAGGGGCCCAGGTCGGGGTTCAGTCTCCGAGAACGCCGCACAGGGCACACAGAGCTCTCTGGCTTTTTTCCCAGCTTGGTCCATGGCAGATCTTGGTCTGGCCTTTTTCTGCCCCACTCCTCCTCCTCCTCTTCTTTTTCTTCTTCCTCTTCTTCCTCCTCCTCGTCCTCCTCTTCTTCCTCCTCTTCCTCTTCCTCCTCCTGCTGCTGCTGCCTGGCAGACCGGCTGATGTCCCCTCTCACCCGCAGTCGCAGTGGACGCAGGCTCTGTCTGGGCCCTGAGCTGGGTGAAGCTGCGATCCTCACCTCCTCCACCGGGGTCGGGTGGGCAGGGGAGGCCTGGCTGTCTCTGGGGAGCCTGGCCCTGGACTGGGGGGTAAGGGAGGCATAGACAGGTGTGGCCAGGCGGTAGGGTTTGCTGACATCACAGAGGACATCTTGAGCCAGAAGTTCCCTCAGGATGGAGAACTCAGCCCAGGAGGCTTTGGAGGGGTGCTGGGGACGGGCTCTGACCTGCCTGGAGGGGCTGCCGCAGGGCTGGGGAGCTGGTTCGGGGGCTGGAGGGGGCAGCTTCCTCTGGGGGAGGCAGTACGTATGCATGTAGCGAATGAGCTGCACCATCGCCTTCACGTCCTCCGGGGGAACCTGGGCACAGGGGCTCGCCCCTCCCAGTGTCGGAGGGTCCCAGTGAGAGGCTCGAGCCGGCTGGGGGCTTGCACAGTCCTCTCCAGGAACCTCGTCCTCCTTGGCATGAGGCTGGGGACTCGTTGGCAGTGGCAGGCCCCTCTCTGGAGAACAGGCTTTCACCCGGGGGCAGGACAGCACCGAAGTGAGGTGCTTGTGGAGCTCCGTACAACGCCGGCTCCGAGGCTGTGGCACAGGAGCCTTCTTATCCAGGGTGCTGTCTGTCTAGAGAGCGAAAGAGGCCAGAGTGAGGCGGGAGGAACACACTGCTCCTTCTCTCTGTCCCCCGGCCCAGTCACTTGCTGGCCCAGCTGCCTCACCCAAGGCCTCTCTAACACAGACACTGCCCCCCGCTTGTGCTTAGGTGGAGAGGAATAGAGACACACCTAGTCCCAACAGGTATTCCCATGAAACCCGACCCTCTGGGGTCTTCCGTATGCCCTGTCAGAGGCCTGCCTGGTCCATCCCGTGTCCCTTCTGCACACACTCAGACACAGGGCCGGGACCTGAGCTGGCAGTGGCCAGTGGCTGGGAACTGGACAATTTCCCTGTAAATGCAGACTGGGTCACTCTGGAGAGGTGGGTATGTTCTGAAGCTGGAGTGTGGTCACAGTTACAACACTGTACATTTACTAAACATCACAGAATTATATGTTTAAGGTATTGGCTTTTAGCAGGACGCCAGCGGTACCAGTGTCTGGGAGTCGGAGGCAGGGGATCATGTGAGCCCAGGAGTTCAGACCAGCCTGTGTAGCAGAGAGCGTCCATCTCAAAAATAAACAAAGGTAGCTGCTAGCACAGATGTGATACTTGAAACAAGCTGTTATGAAAAAGAGAAACAATTTGCTTGGTATGTCGACACACGCCCCGCATCCCAGCTCTCTGGGAACCCGAGGCAGAATCACAAGTTTGAGCCCTGTCTGGGCAACTTAGCTAATTAGCAAGAACCTCAAAATAAAGACTAAAAAAGGACTGGGATGCAGATTAATGTCAGTCCTGGGTTCAATCCCCAGTTTAAAAAAAATAAGGAAACAAAAAAGAAAAACTCAGCAGCTTCCCAACGTCCACGTGATAAAGGGCGGCTCCTTGGGCTGGCACCAGCTGACACAAGCTGATGTCCCCTCCAGTCCTGCCTGCTATGTGTTCCCGCAGAGAGGCTTCCTCACAGTGGCTCTTAGGTGTGTCACCTTACTTAGAAGCCACCTAGTGTCTCAGAGTGTGAGGAACTGGCCCCCTGAGGAGCTCAGCTACTGCAAAATGCAATGCAGGGGGTGGGTTCGTGCTTCAGGAGGTCGGGAGGGTCACACAGGGACACACAAGAGGGAGCATGAGGCTGGGGATTGCATAGGCAGGAGGGGCGGGCACGAGGGTTAGCGCTAAGGAGCGGGAACACCTGGGAATCAGCATGTCAGCTCTCCTTGTGAGGCTTGGGAGGTGACACCCCAAAGAGGGTGTGCTTTGATCCTTGATGTCCAGAGCTCCAAGCCTACCAGTGGTTCCCAAGAATAAAATCTCAACATTTTATTGAATGCGCCATCCACAACCAGGGAGGACCCTGTTTCCATCTGTCATCCCATTAACATGAACCCTGAAGGTGAGTCACTCTGTCTCTGCTCTAACCTGTGTTACTGTCTAACAGCACCCTGAAACCCTCAGGGGTGAGGGAAACCCAAGACTCACTCTAGAACCCCATGTGGGGCCGTATCTCAAGAAGCCGAGCCCAGGAAAACAGCTCCATGACTGTGTGAGGAGCGTGCACAGAGACTAAAGTGGACTGAATCTGCTGCGTGTTGCCCGAGCTGACTGTGTCACGGGGCGGCCACCTGAGGCCTAGGCTAGCTTCCGGGCACGTGCATAAATACCTTGATCCACGGCCGCTGACTTCTGGACCTGAGGCCAGCCTGGCGCCAAGTCATCCCTTCTTTCTGAGGGTCAGAGCTTGACGGTGGGGAGGATGTGGCCAGGAGGAGCTTCTGCAGCTGGGCAGGAACAGAGAGACACAGGGACACACAGAGAGTGAGTCTGGGATAGTGCGTGGCTGGACACGAGGACCACAGCCAGCCTGGGGCTGATCACACCTTCTGTGGCACCACGGGACTGTAGCGAGGACGTGTGATGCTAGGATGACACTCCCAACACAAGTGCAGAAAGTGTAGCCCGTAATAATCCCAAACACACACACATATCACACTAACGTGTAAGCTCTCTCCAGAGTCAGTAACCCAACAGGACAGCTGCCCTTGGATAATGCCTACTCAGGCTTCTGTTACACTATTATAGGGACATTCTGCACACACTCTTGGTACACACGCACGCACACACTCTGTAAGGTAGGTACCAAAATGATTATCTGAAGTGGATTCTAGCTGATTTCCTTTTGTTCATTCTGTGAACTTTAAAAAATTAATTTCTTAAACTAAATGAGTGACACATTTAAATGTTAAATCTGTATCTATCTACCTTTCACAAACACTAACAGACAAAAGAATCTCTGGGCTAGGGATTTAGTTGAGTGATACAGCACTTGCCTGGCACACACGAGGTCCTGAGTTCGATTCCTGATTTAAAAAAAAAAAAAAGCATCTCCCTCCTTTCCTCAAAAAACTAGAGGATCCATTTGATTCGCTATTCCGCTGCTTGTTATCTTCACAAGAGAATTAAAAGCATCATACCACAGTGACATATGTGCATGCATGTTCATGGCAGCATAGTTTGGAAGAGCTAAGTATGGAAATAGCCCAAATGCCCACCAACCAATGAATGGATAAAGAAGAATTTTTTTCATACAATGGAGTAGCACTGAGCCACAAACAAGGACACGTTCACATTTCTAGGTAAATGAATGCACCTCGAAATGAATGCCATACTCTTGAGACACCTGTGAGTAAATACCACGCTGATCTCTCGTGTGAGAAACAGAAAGTATAAACAAGGAGCCGCGTGTATCCTGGCTACTGGGAAGCAGACAGAAAACGTTCAAATGGGAAAGGGAGCTAGGGAGGGGGAGAGGGAAGGAAAGAAAAACAAGAAAAGAAAGAAAAAGTGGAAACAAAGCTTTTGCCAATAAGGAGGGGAAAGGAGCTGAAGGGAGAGGAAAGAAATGGGGAAAACAGAGGAATCAAGACACATCGCACACAGGCGCAAATTCCCTACCAGGAATGCTGTCATTACGTAGATCTAAAACCTACATTAAACTTAACTAGTTCTCCTTAAAAAAGCACTTCCTTCCTATCTGACTTCTCTTTCCACTGACTACTTCCTTGTACCCCTATCATGAGATGGGCTTTTGTCATGCAAGAACACACAGGTCCATGTCACCTCCAACCCCTCAGCCATTTCTGCACATGTGCAATCATGCTAAACTTTAGCTTGTCCTTTTGTTTGCCAGATGATTTTTCTATACAGATTGTTGAAATGTGCCTCCTTCTGCAGCCTACGGCTGGGTGTGCGGTGCCTCCATGATGACCCCCCTAGACGTTCTACTCAGGATCTGTACACAGCCGAGGATGAAAACACAGCGAGAAACACAGTGGGATTTTACTACAGTGCCAAGTATTTTCTGGGGAACATGCACCACCCCCATCCCAGTAGGGAACACAGGCCAAGGGGCCAGAGGCAGGGTGATGCCCCTTACTCTCCTAAAGAGCTGAAGAACCACTCCCTACTGCTCACTTGGACCCCAAATCAATATACATCCTGACTTTGGATAGGAAAAGACCCCTCCCAAGACTAGAGAAAAGAAACCTGGCTGCCCAGCTCAGCCCACTCACTGTGCGTGAGACTTGGGGCAAGTGACTTCCTCCCCAGGGCCTTGGTTTCTCCTTGGCATAATGAGGGGCAGGGAGATGCAACGGCTGGATCTGAACCCATTTTTGACTCTAAGAGTAAAAAAGAAGCTGCTGACCTATGTAGAGGTCCAAGGGTCCTCCTAAGTCCACGGAGGGTGCTTTTGGTGAGATCTAGGGTCTGAATAACTTTGCAGGACCTCTGTAGACCTGCTGGTATCCTGAGAGTTTAGACAGTGAGCCTGCTGCTTGTAGGCCTAAACAGAAGGGCCTTCCAGTGCATGAAACAGAGGTGCTCAAGAGAACAAAGTGTGAATCTAAGGGATGGAGGGAAACAATTTTGGACCAGCAGGGGTCGCTCTTTGCCTCACCAAGATTTGGTACTCTGTAAAGCCCTGTGCAGAAATGACACTGAGCATTCTTGTTACTACTACCAGTGGTCATGCCAGGACCATGCCTTAGCTTGTATTACTGGGCAAGTCTACGCACCAGCACTGTTCCAAGGGCTCCCCATAATGACCCGCTTTATTCCTGAATAATCTTTAGGGCAGCCACCTCACACCGACCAGCAGGTGAGGAAGCTCGGTCAGAGAGCTGTGAAAAGAGGGTGGATGCCTATGGGACTCACAAGCACTACGTAACTGGGTGGGAATTCACACCCAGGTAGTCTGAGTCCAGTCTGAAAGGAGGGGGGACCCCCTGAGCAGGAGCCATGATGTAGAATGGCATACTCCATGTGCCAGCCATGATGGTGTTTCCCACTGCTTTGGGGACCTTGAAGGCAGCGGGAGGAAAGGCAAAGGGCACTAGATGGTAAGTCTGAACACCTGGGTTCCAGTCTTCACTGGCACTCCAACTTGCTGTGAGACCATGGGAGAGATCTCCCTATGCTTGCCCTCAGTTTCCCCAAAATTGGGCTTGACAGGCACCAAGGGCCTTTCTAGCTCCATCTCTCCTTGACCTAAGAACTTCCCTGCTGGGATGAGCTCAGATTTCCTGGCTGAGTCCCACCAGCACCAGGAGCCGCAGCCAAAAGGTGTAGGAGGAGCCAGAGGAGGCCACGCCCAGCAGAACTACACAGCCACAACTCTGAGCTTCGGGACCATCAGCAAGTGCCTTCAGCACCTTGTGAGGGCCAGACTTCCTGACGCTGAGCTGACCTCTCCCCAGAAAGCTGGTCTTCCACATGCCAACTGCAAGCCCATGTACTCTCTCACACACAGTGCTTGACTTGTGCGGGGGGAATACGAGCCAGTCTTACCTCACTGGTAGGTCATCAGGAAGGATCTGTCCAAGCTGAAAAATCATGTGTGTAAACGAGGAGCTTCAATTCCAGGAGTTTATCCACTGTCATGGGGGCAAAGCCTGCATGTGCAGAGTGACTAAGGACTGTCTGTGACAATGCAAGCTTTGAAACAACAAAAATCCCTCCCAGTAGGAGTACGGTGTAAATAAGGGATGGCATATCCTAACCCAGAAATACTACACAGACAAGAAGGAGGAAACTCTTCACTGGGAAGAACTCCCCAGACACAGGAAATGAGACTGCAAGGTGGGGGACTGTGTACCTGGAACACAGGCTCCCTTTTGTAATAACAAACAAACAAGGTGAAGAGGAAAGTCACATAACACATCTGTAACCATGGCTACCTCTGCAGAAGGAGAAAGCAATCCTGAGAGGGTGACGCAGGTTGTGCTTTTAACTGTCCCTATTTGTTGCTTGGATTTTTACTGTGTCTGTATAACCTTTAGAAAAACATTTGCATGTAATGTCAAGGATTTAACTCATGCCTGAAGTCAACCTTTGAAACCCCAAGGAGCCTTCAGCATGCAGGTGACGCTTACTCCCGCTGCCAGGTCTGCCCAGGTTCTCTACTGGGAATCTTGGTGCCACCAAGCACAGCAAGCCCAGTGGCGCCCAAGCTGGCAGCACTGCTCCCAACCCCAGGCCATTACCATCACCTCAGTAGAAACAGGTTCTCACCAGTGAAAGCTCATCCTCCTCGGAAGCTGGGGCCAGGGACCTCTCTGGAGCAGGGCTGGGGGGTGCAGACAAGGGGACCGGAGATGCTGAGGGGCAGGACGGTGTGTCTCCTTCATCCAGGGCCGAGAAGGCAGCCAGGGCCACGTCATCTTCAGGGATGTCGTCCAGGGTCTTGGTGAGTGCCGCCAGGAGGGCCTCATTCTCACTGTCGATCTGGAAGGAAGAGGCAGAGGGGGCGGGCTGACACTGTCTCCTTACACGGATAAAACTTGACTTGTGCTGGAGGAATGCAAACCGGTCTGACCTCACTGGAAGGTCATCTGAAAGGATTTGTCTAAACTGAAAAATCATGTACCTGCAGACCAGGAGTTCCGCATCTAGGAGTGTACCCACTGACACAGGACAGAGGCCAGCCGTCCGCATGGTAGAAACCTGCTCTGCCTACTCTGCTCTACAGCTGTCACCCTCCTGCCAGAAGTTTTCTTCCACCCCTGTGCCCCATCAGAGCTGCTCTGTGTTCCCGGGACAGCAGAGGCCCAACATGTTGCCAACCCCTGTAGGGTGGTGAGGGGAAAGGTCCTTCTCTGGAGTCCCTGTCTTGGCTCTGCTACTCACTAGGGGTGACCTGGGACACAAAGCTGTCCACAGGAGCAACATCTGCCTTTCCCACTAAGGACTGAGGCTGCTCCCCAACACTGTTCACGGTACCCCTACAGACCTGGAGCCCAGGCACAGAGAAGGTTGAACGAGCCAGGCTCAACCTGACAGTAACAACCAGAGCAGTAGTGAAACAGTTACTATTTCCCTGTCGGGACTCAAGTTGGGAGCTGGGGTTGAATCCCAGGACTCAAACTTCCCAACAGTGGGTCTCTAGGCAAGTAGTTTCCTTACCTGTCAAATGGGCTAACAGAACCTACTGTGTGGGGCTGTCCCTGAGGAGTAGATTACTTCATACTGGGAAGATGCTCAGGAGGTAGTTCGGGCACGGAACAAGCACTCATCGCTATGGTGAGGACACTATGCTACCACCATCTGATGGCGATGATGAGGATCATGATGGTGGTAGCAATGGTGGGCATTCTCCCGCTACCTTTCGTCCCTTCCCATCCCCACAGGGCTTGCTCCACCCCTGGCTTTTGTGGCCACAGCTTTGCCCTCCTGCCACCTGCCCTCCAGTGGAGTCAAAATAGTGAAAAAGCTCATGCAAAGCACAGGAAAGGCTGGGGTGGCAGAGAACGGCTTGGATGGAGAAGACGAAGGTGATGAAGATTAAAGGCTACCTGAGTGGCCGAGGAAGCTTTCTCTGAGCAGCGGTTGGACAATTAAGCTTAGATATCAAGCCACCTAGCAGACGGCAGAGCACACGGCAGTGTCATGGGGGGTGATGGAGGTATAACCTTGGGGTTTATGTCTGGTCTCCCCCCTTGCTCCCTGGCACTGTCCCTTGTTCTGCCTCCAGCTGCCATGAACTAGGCATCTTGCTCTGCCATGCCCTTCTGTAATGGTGTTTCTACCTTAGAGCCACTGACCATGGAATCTGTAAGCCAAGTTAAACCTCCCTTTCTTTTTTTTTTTTATTGGTACCAGGGATCGAACTCACAACCGCCTGCTTGCAAGGCAGGTGCTTATGCCGCTGAGCTAAATCCCCAGCCCCCAAACCTCTCTTTCTTTAAACTAGGTATTTCATCCAGCAGAGGAAAAACTAGTACAAGCTTACATCTTAACTCAGGCTTGAAAGACACCAGCCAGGCTAAGGCCTAAGGACAAAGAACCAGGCAAAGGGGACACCTAACATGCAAGCCAGGGATGCAGAGCCCTGCCGAGAGAGACACAGACACCTGGTCACCACCACCTTAGTGACCCTCACAATCACCCCTATGAGGGGAAATCTGTTCTGATGTCTACTTTACAGGGGAAGAAGCAGGTTCATAAAGTTTCACCAACTTGCCACGGGTCACTCAGCAAATAATGAGCAGAGCCAGATCTGGGACTGAATGCCCATGCACAGATGAGCCAAAGGGCTTTGCTTCCTTCAGGCAGGAAAAACGTGCACAGTCCTAGTATGCAAGCTATTAACCAGAGGCAGAGATCACCCAGCTCCTAGGCGAGGATAAGCACCTCCATCAGTAACCCCGGACTCCTGGGCCTATTCTGGCTGAAGCGCATGCTGTCACATGACGCCTCTGCAGCATACTTTCCCATCCCAGGTCAGGCTGTTTATCCCTCCGTCAGGAAGTTCATCTGAAATCCACATCTCGTGACAGCCTGTGGCTGCACTAAATCTGTTCCAGGCCTTGCAGTCGGAACGGCAGCTGAGTAACTCGAAAGGGGGGACATGGGGAGAGGAGAACAAACATGTCTGTAATTTTTAGAACAGAGCTAAGAATAAAAGAAAAGTCCAAAGGAAGCTCTTGGTTGGACCTGACCCAGGCCCTGGAAATGGGGGCCCCTGGGGAGATCAGGCCCATGGACTCAGGCTCTAAAAAGCAATGGGGGCGCCGAGATGATTGTAAACTGCATGAGCTGCGAATACATGCAAAAAAGAATGCAATGGGGGTTCACTTGGTTGTCCTTGCCCCCCACCAACAAGTCCTCCCTAACCCTCAGGCCAGACTTCCAACCCTCGTTCCCACAGTGATCTTTCTGGCTTGACGTGGAGTCAAGATCCTGGAACTTGGGGCTCAGTGGCCAGTTAGAGGCTCTGCCACAGAGCAATGCTGGGCAAGTCATCCCCTTCCTTCAAGCCTGGCTCCTTTATCCATACAGTAGGAAGACTGAGGCTGCCATCTCCCCTGCAGGGCTGTGAAAGTAGCCCACTCAGTGCCCAGGGCGTGGGAAACAGCAGAGGGCTGAGCAAAGGAATGAATGAGGCAAACAATGGACAATGGCGAATGGCGGGAGCCTGAGTTGAGTGTCTCAAAAACTGGCTTCTAGAGGGAAGTCATCCAGAAGTGACGTCACCCAGGCTGGATGGAATGAGAGTCCTTGCTCTTTCCCAGGGACTCTCGCAAATGGCCCAGGGACATTGTGAATTATCATGCCTATCAGAGCTGGAAGGGTCCCAGGGCCAGGTAGTGACCTGTGTTGCTAAAGACATGTCGCACACATGTTGAATACAGAGCCCTGGTTGGAGGAACCGCCTGGGTGCTGCTGCTTCCTTCCATAGCAGTGTCTCTTCTGACACAGGGGCCCAGGCCACATCTCCCAATCCATCACATCCAGCACTGGTTAGGAACCTACCGCTGCCATTCTTTATGCAAGCATAGGCTGAAGCCCCAGAAAAAGAGACTTGTCCAGGTCATACAGCGAATCAAGGCATGCGGGCAAGGACCAGAACCCGGGACTTACTGAGTGCCAGGCACGGGCTGAAAGGAGCATAAATGGCAGAGAATGCTGAAGTACCTATTGGGTTGGGTGGAGAGGAAAATGATAGCAAAAGGCCCTTCCCTCCCCTGCCTCCCTGGGCTACTCAGCACTAGAACCGTCTCCAGAGGGCCCTGAGGTGCTAACTGGCAGTGCCCACCCAGCGTGCTCCCTCCCTATGTGCCACTCTGTGGGCACCTAGCATGCTGCCTGCCTGGGAGCTGGCCACCCTCTCCTTTCCCCGGGACCATTAGCATGGCTCCCCCTGCTCTGCTCAGAAACGGAGTGCAAATTAATGGAGAGTTAATCAGCTGGGGAAGGGATATTAATAGACTTGGCCCCGCCCCCAACCTTTCTGAGCTGATCTCAAGCTGGAAGAAAAAAAGCCTTCAAGAAATCTGATGGAAATGCTTCATTCTGGGGTCTTGACATGGCTTACAGGAATGGCACAGCACAGCAAATTTAGACTCTCAGGGCTGAACAGATATTCAGAAATACGCCACTGTCCAGCAGGCTTTGTTGAGGCACGAGGAACTCAGGAAATTGCCCTCTACCCATTTTTCTGGGAAAAAGTCTATGATTTCATCAGAATCTAACCGGACACAGAGATTCTCTTCCCCTGCCCTAAATACATTAAGTCCCTAATCTAGCCATGTTCCTTCTTCATTTCTCACATTGCCCAAGCTCACAGAGCACAGAACAAACCAAACATCTGCTCAGTCTAGAAATACTAAGCACCCATAGAGCCCAGGTTCTAAGAACTCTGGGGCATACAGAAAAATGTCTCTGTTCCCCAAAATGCTGTCAACCCTTATGACTGTAATGTCTCCAGTCTTAGTTTGCCCCATAGCACTGATGCCCTTCAATTGTTAGAACATTGCCGTGACACAAGCAGTCAGATTCCGTGACTCCCAACGGTGCCACAAGGATGCAGTCCAAGCTACAAGCTACCAGCTCACAGCAGGAGGATCAGAACCGAGGGGCCCTGGCCCTCAGCTCAAGGCTTCCGAATAGGTCACTTCTGGCCCGTGGCAACAAAGAGAAGACTGCAGTTGATTCCTTTATTTAATAAATACAAACTGAGCCCTTATAGCTCTAGAGATGAAGAAGACATGAAAGACTCATAGGATTGGGATGGGAACGCAAAAGCAGAGGCCACCAACCAGCTAATGCCTTAGGTGGAGGCCACATGGGAGCAGGACAACAGTTTCTAAGACCCTTATAGAGTGCTGGACACCACAAACAGTGTGGCCACACCCCAAAAGAAGTTACAATGGCAGGGCCTCGAGGAGGGTGCGCAGCAGGTGGGTCAGTGAGCAGCAGGGAAAGCAGGCTGAGGCTGGGATGTGCATCCCTCAAGCAGAGAGGGCCCAGGGCAGAGCATCCTCCCCACTGGGCTGCGCCAGGCTTGCTCGGGACTTAAACCATTTCGTGTAGGAGCAGGACATTGGCAGGGGACTCCTGGGGGGGAGTCTGGCCAGGAGTACAGGTGCATGTGGAGGTGGGGAGCATCCAAACGCCTCCCCTGCATTAGATCTTTACAACCTGAAAGCAGTGTCAGGAAGCTGGGCCTCTGTGAGGGAGGCGGCAACGCCGTGAAAGCATCGATCCTTTCTTCAAAGGAGATGGAAGACCCAGATGGAGCCAGAGCCAGAGCCCGGGCCTCCAACTCTTCCAGGGTCAGCAAAGGGACTCCAGGTAGCAGGGAGGGGCCAGTCTGTCCTGACCCTTCCTGGGTTTGTGACTTTGGACGAGCAACTTAACCTTTCCCAGTTTCACTGTCTTTACCTGTAAAATGGGTTATCAGTAAAATATGACTTGCAGGTTACAACAGTCCCTGGAGAACTACCACCTCTTTACCGTGACCCATAAGGGACGGCGTGGTCAGCTCCCTGCCTGCCGCTCCATGCTCACCTCCTAGCACTTTCCCTTCCCCACCTCCCTCCTCTGGCCCCTGCTCTTCCTGCTGGACCCCTGGGGCCCTGCCCCTTGGACTTCTGCGCTGCCTTCTCCTCCCACAGCGGGGACCCACTTGTTTGGGAGGTCTTTGCTGCCTGGCCACCAGTCTGCAGGTCTTCCTACATTTCTCTGTGTGCTCTGTCCCAAGCCACATGGCTGCTGCTGTCCTTGTCACCCAGATGGTGACATGTGCTTATGGACACAGTGCCTGGCACACAGGGGGCTCAACAAGCCTTTCTGAAAGGACCGATGGACTCTGTCAAGGGGACGGCTGAGATGACCCCCGTGACATGCCAGCATGGCAGGTGGCACATGACGTGTCGTTACACTGCCACACAGGCACCGACAGCTGTGGTTTCTGCCCCCAAACCTGATGTGGGGAACATTTCAAGAAAAGAGTAATGAATGTGACGCTACCCGTCACCAAGCTTTTGCCACGGCCAATCTTATTTTGTCTACTGCTTTGCATGCCGAACGCCCACATGCACACACACAAGTACACACAGAGTTTGCTTTCTTCAGAAGCGAAGCCCAGCCAGCCTATTCCCTCAGGGGGCGGGCTTAGAGGAAACCACACCCACCCAAGGCCACGCAGGCAGCACTCAGGTCAACAGGCCTCTTGTTGAAGAACCTTCAACTGGAACTGCAGATAACTGCATCTACAATTGACAGATATTAAGTGAATGAAGTAAGTTAATATATACACACAGGGTCAGTGTGTGTACGACAGGTGCTCCATGATGTGCATCCTTCTCTCTCTTGATCAGGAGGCAACAGACTAGATGTGGTTCTAGCTCAGCCACTGGCTGGGAAACTTGCCCAAGGCATATAATTTAACTTCTCCAAGCCTCTGTTTCCCTATCTGTAAAATGGGGAAGTAATGGTACCTGCCTCACAGAGGAAGGCGGGTTCTCATGAGACATGGAAGAAACAGAAGACTTGATGCCCCACAACCCACAGAGAAGCTAGGTTCTGCCAGGGAGGGATACAAGGCACAGGTCATCCAAGCCCTTCATTTCTAGAGGTGATAATTTGGGCCAAGTGAGAGAGGGGAGCCGGGTTATATGTTATATGCAGACACAAGACAAGCAGCAGGGTCCCAAGAGCTTGGTGGGTGCAGAGACTTCTGGATGAGCAAATGCAGAGCTGGAGGAGAGGGCAGAGCGAGGCGTGCGGGGCAGGAGCGAGGCGGGGTACCCACCTGGAAGAGCTCGCAGTCATCAGGGCTGTACTGGCCAGGCTCCGTCTCAGAGTTCTCCGGACACCACTGCAGCTCCCCAAAGCAGGCGGCTGAGTCAAAGTCGCTGGTGTCCAGCTGGGAGAGGTCGAGCTCAGGAAAGTCGGCACAGAGTTGCTCCTCCCCGGATTCCCCACCCTGAGGAGACAGGAAGGAAGGAAGCGGATCAGAGCTGAGTGGCGCCGGGCCCAAGCCCAAGCCCAGGCCCTTGTACTCATAACACTGCAGATATGGCTCCTTGGCCAAGGCCCCATATTGCCAAATGACCAACAGATGTAAGACGTGTGTGTCCTTACAATCGTCAAAGCCGGTAGCCGAGTCAGGCCCTGACAGTACAATCCCCTGCGGCCTCTCTTCTCCTTTGTGTACTCCTATACATCCCTCAAGGCCCTGACTACATGGCATCTCTTTTGTCTTACTGGAGCTGTTTTGTTGACAACTTTATTAGAATCTGTAAATAAACTTACTCCTTTACACTACTGTCCCCCATAAGAAGGTTTCTTAAAGTTAAACACCCCTTAATATTCAAATTGAAACAAAATACAGCAATAATGATGGCTGCCACTATTGAATGATTATAAGGTTCTGAATAAACACTCATGTTCCCGGGGAATTTAGAAGGTTATTTTTAATATCTCTAGTATAGAAGACCACCCATCAGTAGAGAAAATCATTACACATCTGTATCGAGAAACCCTACCACGCTATTGAAAAGAACCAGGCAGATATATGGATCATCTCCAAGACATGTCAAATAAAAACTGAGTTGTAGAATACCATCCCACATGTATGAACAGAATGGAAGAACAACCCTTTCTAGATGCAGGATAATACGTATGCAGGCACACAGGCAGAGGCCCCGCAGATTCACATGGCCACGGGACAAATGGGTCGTGGGGTGGAAGCAGCCCTGTGGGAGCCAGTGGATCTCAGCACACAACCAAGGGCCGGGTGCGGGGCATCACTGGGGTACTTGCTGCAGGAACAGTAATGCAAGTCCCAGGACTCCTGCAGCAGATGGCAACCAACCACTTTCTCACTCGGTCTCGACAGTCACTAACAGAAGGGCTGAGATTCAGAAGCTGAACAGCAGTAGAATGCCACAGCCATAAGGAGGCTGGCCAGGGGACCTTGCAGATAAGAGTGGAAATCCCCACTCCCCAGCAGTGAGACTGTGGGTAAGTCCCTTCACCCCTCTGAAAGCCAGCGACCTCATCTGTAAAATGGGACGCCACCACCACCATCCGCCTCACAGAGTTAAACGCAGAAGGGGCAATTTATAGCCCAGCCCACGAGGAAGTGCTCAAAAAGGTCAGCTAACAGTAACGACGTGAAATAATGAGGCTGCCAATAATAAAACAGCAGTGTTCATGGCAGGCAGAGGGTTGGGACCTGCCTGAGAGAACAAAAAAAGGCAAACACGCCACCAAAGAGAAAAGGCTTTGCCCAGGCCTTTCCCCTAATTGTTCCCACTTACTAGGCCTCATAAATTATGAATAAATGTATATAATTAGCTCAACTTGACACAGGAAAAAGGCTTTTATCCAAATTTGGGTCAAATGCCTTAATTGGCATTTTGCAAGAATCTTGCCTGCACAGGCAGCACCAGGGCCAGGTCCTCCAAGAGGTGGTTCCCAGCTGAGTCTCAGGCCAAGAGACGGAGTCCCCCAAGACTCGATCTTCTCCAGGGATGTGCCCCAATGTCCTGCTTTCTGCCCAGGTACTCTTCTTCTAGTCCACGTGGAGTCAGCTGCCCTAAATATTAAGCTCTGAGTCACTGAGACAGACACCAGGCCCCTGTTCCAACGAGGGCCAAAAAGACAGAACTCCTGTCTTCTTGCAGCTCATGTTTATGGGTAGAGGAAGATGATATTAAATACAAAATTATGCAAATGAATGGGATTATAGCAGTTCTCCTTTCTATATAGTTTCAGTTACCCATGATGACTGTTCGCTGAAGCTATTGACCACTTAACAGTTTACCCCAAGTGTCACTTGGGTAGCACATTTGTTTATGTTCTATCCAGAGAGTCACTTGGGCAAGGGTTATTTCAACTAGTCAATTTTGTATTGAATAAATTTGATAAAATTATTTTTTATAATATAATTTTAAAATTATATTATGTTATGAATATTTTATAATATAGAATTATATATAAATATATTTTTATATTTCTTGTTACATTATCTTATAAGAATTAACTAAAAACATGCAAGTTTTGGGCATCTTGTACTTAAATAATTGGTAAGTGGTTAAACAGAAAATTCTAGAAATGAGCAAAGTTGAACAACATGATGAAATCCTGAATAGTACTGCCATGTCCCACTGGAACATGTAGCATCTCTTCGTTCAGTGTATCCACACTGTATACACTACACTCCTGCCAATCGCTTTATCCATCCTGGTCAGCAGACTGACTATGGGACTTGTGTTCAAGTAACCCTTCTTTTCCTGTCTACTGGCCCCAAAGTACAAGACATGCCAAAGAAAATCCACACATTTTCTATAAATAAAAAATGAAGGTTCTTGACTTAATAAGAAAAAGAACGTTATGCCAATGTTATGATAAGAACGACCTTCTATTGATGAATTTGTGAAGGTGAAAGAAACCAGTTTTACTGTCACACTGCAAACTGCAAAGGCCACAGTACGTGGTAAACTGCATGGTTAAGATGGAATAGACACTATAAGAGTTCATGCTGAAGGCCTGGTTCCTAGGCTACACTCGGAGGACTTGTTCCTCATCTGGTTGCCTAGGGGAAAGTCCTGGACCTTGGCCACGTACTCACATACATAGACTCTCCCCATGCTCCACGCTTAGCCTGCTAAGAGGCATTCTCTCTGAATAGGCATTCTATTTGTGAACATATTACAGGGGAAAAATTATGCAGGATTTTGTATACTATCCATAGTTTTAAGCATCCACTTAGGACACTGCAACATCCAAAAATAGTAAATTGTGACTCTCCAAAAAACAGCTTAACATTTTTGAGCATGGTTGGGATCCTGAAGATGCCTTAACTTTTGGGTGTCCAAGGTAGTCATAGCCCCTCGACAAGCTCTGGCTCTCATCCACCCCAACCATAAATCACCAGCATGCCGTAGCTGTCCTACCAAAGGAGACTCAAGTGGATTCTCTCAGCTGCCTCTGGGAGCTCTTGTATCCTTCATGCCCCATCAGTCTGGGGACGTGCTAGTTTTTCCTGTCCTAGATAGACATTTGGTTTGTTTCTCACTTGGGGCCACTGTGAACAGTCCTTCAATAGTTATGTACAACTCTTGGTATAGACATCTGCACTTCTCTTGAGTAAGTATCTAGCAGTAAACTGCTGCATAATTTGTTAAGTGTATATGTAGCTTTATAAAAACAAGCAAGTGTTCTCCAAAAGGGTTGTGCCAGTATCATGCCCATCAGCTGAACGAGTCTCATTGTTCTGCACCGTCACGAGCACTTGGTATTTTAATTTTAGCCATTCGAGCACTTATTCAAAGCTAACATGAGTCAGGTAGTGTGATATATAAGACTCAGTTCCTTCCTGTGTGAGTTGATATCTTTATGAGGAAGAAAATATATTCTTCCTATTTCATTACAGGCTGGGTTAGTGTAAAGAAGGAGACACAAACCAGTTGTCCCAGTGAAGGACGACAGAGCGACAGGACTGTGTCTTAGACGGAATCTCAGGAGATGCTTCCTGGAGAAGCAGGCATGGAACTGAGACTCGAAGGAAAAGTTAAGCAAAGGGAGCATCGGGATCAGTAGCAAAGACCTAGAGGGTGCACAGCCGAGGGGTCAGGGCTCTGAGGTCACTGAGGCTGCAGCTCAGTGAACAGGGAGATGAGGGGAGAAGGGGACACCAAAGAGGCAGGCAGAGGTCAGATCCGGGTGGGACTGTAAGGGTTTGGGGTTTTATTCCAGGCATGACTGGATGCAGCCCGCATGGAAAGATGGGGATGGGTTAGGCTACTAGAGCCATCCAGGAGAAGGACGGGTCACAGGCTGGGGAGCCATCCCTTGGACATCACCTGGGGTATGCGGCACAGGAGGGAGGGACAAGCGCAGGTACAAGGCTGCTGAGCAGCACGGTGCTCCCTGCGCTGCAGAGCCCCCTCGGCCAGCTCTCTGGGGAGCTCCTTCTCTCCCGCCAGGAGCTCAGAGTAGCTGCCTCTGTGACCTGCTTCCTAGAAGCTGCCTTAGAGTCAGAGTCCCCAAATCCCCAACCAGACTAAGGCAGCAGTCCAGAGACACCGAAGGTGGGTCACAGTGGATAATTCAGGAGTCCAGAGACCCCTTCTAGAACTAGAGGAAAGCTCTGGATGTCCCTCCAAATGCATGAGTGCATGGGAAATTTACAGGCGATTTTCAGGCCCTCAAAGGTGTAACTTAAGACCTCCTAACCGAGTTACTGTATCTTCTCTACTCCACAAAGATGGAAACTGAGGCCCAAGGAGGGTAATGGATGGACTTGTGGTCCTGCAGTGACTGTCCTTCTCAGGAAACTGTGCCACCTACTTTACAAATATTCCATAAAGTGGCTGTGACAACTGTGCTCATTGATTACCCACAGCGGCTCCACATACTCAAAGTGGAAGCGGCCCATAAAACTAAGCAAACCTCCACTTCACAGCTTCAATTAGGCTGGAGACACGCTCTCACTGAAAAGACATTAGCCGCTGATTTCTCGGCCTTTTCCATGTTTAGAGGACTTTTGAAGTGACCCCGTTCTCTTTAAAAGGTCTGAACCTCCTTGCTAGGCAGTCTGGTCCAGTGCAGGCCCAATAGGCACTGTTGTTACTGGGCACTTACTACTGTACACTGAGGGCCAAAGCAGGTGCCTCCCATGCGCCTCCTCATCAGAGTCCTGCAGCCCCTCCAGGCAGGTGTTACTCCCGTGTACTAGCCACGAGGTCACCTGTATGGCTGCTGTGACAAAGGACTGCATCTGGGGGGTGTGAGCCAGAGAGGTCTGAGAGAAAGCTGTCACCAGGCCCAATGCTTCCTGCGGGGCTGCAGGAAGGGTCTGACCCAGGCTCTCTCCTTGGCTTGTGGATGGCTGTCTTCACATATTGTCTTCCCTCTATGTGAGTTTGCTCTGCTCAAATTTTCCCTTTTAACAAGCACATCAGCCACATCAGACCA